AAAATAAGAAATCAAAATATCATTTTGCAATAATATATGGAAAAATATATTCCTATTGTACATGAATGACATTTGTATATCTTGGATTGCTTCTAGTTTGGCTTATAAAGGGTGTGGCCTCTTATATTTGGATGCTACTCTGCCATGTTATTTTGAATAAGATTAACAAGGCTGAAATTCTTCAGATTACAAGATGGCACAGGCTTATTGCACAAAAAACTAAAAAATCTGAAATATACAAATGTCATTCATGTACATTATGAATATACTTTCCATATATTATTGCACAATGGTCTCCCAATTTCTTTTTTTTTTGCCGTTCTACTGACGCAATGAAGCAGTGAAATGGACTTTAGTAATGTATAATGTGCAGCAAAGCTGTGGCCTTTTGTAATTTAGGGAGTTTCAGCCATGTTAATTTTTCCGAAAATAACATGGCAGAGAAGTATCAAAATATAAGAGGACACAGATATGATAGCTAAACTAGATAACAAACTATAAACAAAAGTTACGATAAATATAAATGTTTCTATTTTTACATAAACTGTTTCAATATGGTCATTCGATTGCTTATTTTTTTTAATTCAAAGTAGTCACAAACATTTCTGTTTTGACTGTAGAGGATAAGTACAGTCAAAACAGTAATGTTTGTGAGTACATATTCAGCAATCATAATGTTAAATCGGACATCACCTTATCTCCTAACTGGTACTATTACTGAGATTTCGTATCAACACTTTAGTCTACTAAATTAATGCTTAAAACTCATATATCTGAGCGTTAATGCAGGGGCATTTCATACAGCCTATAAACACCGCCCTTTCATCAAATGTGTTTTCTGGTTTCCTTAATTTCGCCAATTTCTTAAGAAATTGATGGATAATTTCAAGAGTATATGATCAGACACATAAACATGGCATATACCACATAAGTTTCTCATATTTAGTTGTTGTTTTTTGTTGAACAATATATTACGTACATGGATAACTGTATTTTATTTACAAGTAGGATGCATCTTGAATTAGACCAAAACATAGCATCAAGTTTCACTAGAGCTGCTTAGAACACTTCTTATCAGATGTGTTGACAGCTCTCCTGATAAAGAGAGTGACTGGTAATTTCTGGATTTGACTTTGAATTTAAAAAATAAGCAATCAAATGACCATATTGAAACAGTTTATGTAAAAATAGAACATTAAGCAAATATTTCATTCTATGGAGGGCAATACCTGTTCATCTTTCAATAATATTTGCTGTATTGCCCGCAGCCCAAAGGGCGAGGGAAATACATGCTGCAAAAATCATTGAAAGTGCAACAGGTATTGCCCAAACATAGAAGGAAATATTTGTTTTATTATATCATTGCTAGACATTCGCTTACTTTGCAGACTGGCACTCTTGTAATATTCCCCGCCCCTCGTTCGCTGTTCAACTTGAAGTTGAAGAAAAAAATCCTCTAAAATTCCATCCAGAACGATTTTATCGATAGATTTTAACGTCTATTTCGATATCTTTTTCGTCCACATAAAACTTGAAAATGTTCCAAGACTATTCCGTTGATTTATTGGTGTTTTTAGAATGCACATCCCTCAAGATGTCGTTCTTTTCATCGGAATTCAAACTTTAAATCTTTTACCGTCCGCCATTTTAATGCACGTCACAACTGTACTGGACGAAACGGGACGATTCAGAATTCCCGGGCGGGCAATCAAACAATAATGCAGCAGTGTCTCGTATCACTGCACGGGAGTTCGCCGGGCAATACGTCTTTCATAATTAAAAAATTCAGAGAGCTGTGAAATACGCTTTGGTATTTTTGATCACATGGTACTGAATCAGCCAATCAAAGGACACAAATTCTAGCAATGGTATAATAATTATATTTATCCTAACTTTTGTATATTTCAGATAGTAATGTACTAATGTATAATGTGCAGCAAAGCTGTGGCCTGTTGTAATTTATGGAGGTTCAGCAATGTTAACTTTTCCGAAAATAACATGGCACAGATGAGCTAAACTAGAAAACAAACTAAAATATACAAAAGTTAGGATAAATATAAATGTTTTTGTGTTACCCCCTAGAGATCTGCTTCTAAAAACATTCATATAGATGGCATATATGCAGAATAAAACATGTATTACATATATGTCGGGATAGTTGAAAGTTGAAACAGTTCTGTGCACTGTGCAGTGTTCATACGAGTAATTAGATACTGTTACTATATACAATATTTGTTGGAGGAACCCTTGGCAGCATAAGATAAAAGCATAAAAGGTTATGAATATAGACCCAATTATTAAAATTAACAATGATTAAATAATTATATAATCAGAACCACGTGCCTCAAATAAACTGAACGTTTAAATCTTCGGCATTTGAATACAATAACCCGAAAATGATCGTTTCGGCGAATTGGACAAACTGAAAGTTTAAGTCCAAAATAATTGAATGTCTCATATTTGTTATACGCGAGATTTTATATATTAATATATTCTGAACACTATTTTTAACGTACTTCTAACTTGGATACTAATACTTTATTCGATTTTTATTTACACTTTCTTAATAAAGACTGTGACCCATTCTGTAGAAGTGCTCTAGAAATGCAACCTTCCTTACATGAAAGGTTACACATTCCAACCTATTTCAAACCATCTGTATGATTATACTGGACACTTTCTGGGTAGTTGGACTTTCTATAGGGGTGGTAGACGGCCCTCAGACCAATTTATACCCCTACCCCCAAAAAACCATGGGGGTATTTTAATACCACCCAATAAAAACAATACTAATGCATGTCAGATATTCATTGTTTTATATTGGGTAGGGCATGTTATGGTTAATAAGTGCCAGAAATTTCCAATCTCTAACTTATATGGTTACCATAGAAACTATGGTGTTAAAACTGTATCAAAATTGGACATCTTATATTTATGTGATATCTCAAACACATAGAATAGCGTTTAACAGAATACATACACAATCCGTGTGATTTCATACACGGTTTGTTCGAGTTTGTACACTTTATATTTGTAAAATCACACTTGTACATGCAAGTGTAATGGAATTTATTTTGTATCAAAATTGGACATTACATGATGTATGGGAAAAATCGAACTATATGATGCAATACTCGAACCATATGATTCGAAACTCGCATCATACTATGCGAAATACGCATCATTATATGCGAAACTCGCATCATCGTGTGCCATTTTCAATCCATGTTATACCAACAGTTAATATTCTTACATAACTTATTTTCATTCACACACGCACTGGTTGTATCAAGTGTCACACAAAGAGTTAGCACTAACTCAAATCACTTCCAAAAATCCAAAAGCAATGTTGAAATACGGATTGTGTTATAAGTTGCATAGAATACTGAAAGAATTACACATGGATCAAAGTAAATTTCGAACGAACGTGTCAATTTTACACACGCATTGAGTTCAAACTCGCATAGGATGGCTCCCGCTCGCATATGCTGTCACAAACAAGTTGCACTTGACTTCACACAAGGTGCGAGATTTGAAGTCACGTGATATTTACATCCTGATTTCTACAATATGGCGCCCTTCGTTGAAATGTGATAAAATGTAAATTTTAAATTAAAAATATATAATAGGATACCCTAGGCCCTAGTCTAGGGAGACGTACAGTGGCCATATATTGAAAAACTACAAACTAGATCTTATTATCTTTTTGCCGCGCTGATGTGTTACTTCGTTCAGTGCAAAAGTAACGCGAGATTTAGAACAAAATCTCGAACATCTCTAGAAAGCAATTTATGTTACATCAAGGTGTTTGATCGGTACATCAAGGTGTGTGATCGGCACATCATGGTTTGTGAAGGGAAAAAACGTTTGTGCGAGCTGCCGCATAAGCATTTGTTCGACTTGTGTACCCTGTTCGATGTCATTTTTAAACAATGCATAGGTTACACAAATACGCATGTACAAGTGTGATTTTACAAACATAAAGTGTGCAAACTCGAACAAACCGTGTGTGAAATCGCACGGATTGTGTATGTATTCTGCTAAACGCTTTTCTATGTGTTAGAGATATCACATAAATATAAGATGTCCAATTTTGATACAGTTTTAACACAATACCCCGCAGCCTATATTTCCACTTGCATCGGTGAATAGTTGTAAGGTATTGGAATCTACAAATTGCTTGTTCATAAAGAATGAGACACTGTTGTAATCTTTCAAAAATACATGCCACATCTCGAGATCTTTTCGGGCTTCCTTAGTTATATGGATTTGTTTGAATTTGTTTCTTTTGTTTCTTCTGCTGTTGATAGACCTAGCAAATCACACAACGCGAACATCAGTTCTAACCTTCCTAACTACGTTCCTTGCACTCAAACCACGAATCCACGATTCTCACATCGCCAATGTGAAATCTTTGGTCGCGCACCACCGTCCCTCGACTCAGAACATATTTCTGGACTCGCGAACAGAGATCCGTGTTCGTGAACCACTTGTACATATTGGTTTGTAAAATCCGAGAAATTTAATAGCCGCGAAATCGTATTTTCTCAAAATTCGCACAATTGACCGGGTGTACAGTAGTTTCCATATAGCAAAATAAAATAGCAAAGATGAACAATTTTGAAATTCTGGCCTTCTTTTATGACTATACAACTGTTAGATCTTTCAGACATCTTTAGCAAGTAGGCCTACGAGTGCATTAATGCATCTACGATTCAGCATAGTTTGAGATTGGATAATCTTGATATCTTAAATTGAACCCTTCTAAGACTGCATCATGTCTCACGTAGTTCGTGGGAACAAGTTACGAGATTTTTTTTATGCATAGCCCTTTTTGTCATTCGGATGTCAAACCTACATTCACAATATGAAGCTTTGTTTGTGGTATCAGTAATAACAAACTTTATTCATGTAAATATGTATGATTAATCATATTGCCATATACAAACATTTATTGCAAATTATACATCAATACAATCAGCTGTGTAAATGTTACTGAAATTGTTTCAGGAAAAGTCGTCGTTATCTATCAATTTGCGAACTCTTCTCATGCGTCGTTATTCGGAAAAATTAATCATTTGGAAGCAGAGAAAAGGCTGAAGATGCAGCGCTTGGGTATCTATCACTTTTTATTTTCATATGCGTACATGTTTACTTTAATATCCATCTAATGCGTCAGTTAATGCAGTAATTAAAATGTCAGTGCAATACATAATGTCATGATTCAAGAAAAGGGCATTTCTGAGAGGATCGCCAATGCCAAAAAATTAGTACTAGCATTTGAATATCTTAAATAAACGGCGGACGACACGGAGGTTTATATTTTGCTGGACAGATGCAGACCACAAAGGGAAACATATTGTCGTGGGAATTAGAAATACCAATAATTTCTGATATTTGAAAGAAAGCCTATAAATGAACATTTGTTCGACATTTTCATGATTTACGGACAATACCATTTTAATACATGTCATTTAATTCTCGACTATTGCAATGTATAGGAATAATAGCTGTTTACAAATATCATTTTTGAAGATGGTATTTCCCAAAAAGTATAATTAGTTTTGCTGACATTTTATAGTATGATACAAAAGTACATTGAAAAAGAGTAAATTCGATATATACAATTTCATTTTGGTATTACTTTCTCAATCGTATGTGGAGTGTTCAATGCACGAAGCAATTGTTAACTTGAAAATAGCGTGAAGTGAATTTGGAAGATCTATCGACAATTTCGACAAAGCGTGGAATTTCGATGGGTATTTTCCCGAATTGCTTCTCAGAGACCGGAGGATTTGGCTGTGGTTCCCCAGAGCTAAAATTTTAGGTTTTAAGGTTTCATTTGATGATATTTGTCTCATACTTCAGGCACCTATCAGCTTGTTCTGCTGTTACTTTTTTGTGGTGTGTACCTTGGAACGGCCAAACCGAAAAACCCTAGAACTAAAAGACCACCTAAAGCAACAGGCATGGATATCAATAACTGCACTAATGCATACATTGAAGTCGAGAGAAAAATTAATATGATGAAGACAAATATAGATAGGAATAGTGAAGATGAGTTAAAGACCACGTTGGATGATTTAGTAAATCTTTTAAAGAAATGTACGAAATTTGACAAAAAAATAGTCGGAAATATTCCTCGAACAACAAAAAAGAATGCCCTGAAAACCTTAAAAGCAATAACACTTACACAAAAGACGATGCAGACATTTATTAAATACATGAACAAGGCAAAAAGTACTGCAAGCAAAGTGAACAATGGGGTTGAACGGGATATAACCAAATGTATAACCGATTTGACGTTCAGTTATACATATTATGGATTTACGGAGCAAGGGACATTACTAAGCAAAATAACAAGGGGGTGCGTGTACCTCGTACAATCAACATCGGGTCTAGATGAGCAAGTAAAAAAGGAGCTAGATGATGCATTGGACCAAATCAAGAAATGGGTAAAGCAACGTAAAGCCGTCGAAATACTTCTGAAGAAAGTCAAAGTTCCAAAAGCGAATTACACTCCTGATTCTCCTCCGATGGGGCGGATTGCAGCAGGAGGGCGATCAGGCCAAGGTGCTCCTTGTTCTGGTGAGTTGCATTCAAGATACAACATTTGGTCTCTCAAAAAGTGATTCCTGATTCATAAAGTTGTTTATTCTTTTATGAAATCTGATTCACACAATGATCTGTCAGTCGGTCAGTACCTTCTCTTAAATGTATGTATGTCAATTTTTTTTATATATGCAGGGTGTCCCGAAAGTATGCCCCCCGCCGAGGCAGACATATACAAATGTCTCCCCAGTATGTGTCATATATCATTTTAAAGCTTGTCCAAAGTTACATTGATTTGCAAAGTATCATTGTTCAACTCACAAATGGTGTAAAGTTACAGGCATTTCAAAACTTCATGTTTGGCCAAAAATATAGTTCATTTTGACAGTATCCTTGAAACAGTCCTGACCTGAATGTGACCGGAAATATGGGTGCTATTGTCGAAGATAGAACGGATATTGAGTTCTAAAAAGAGGACGTTGAGGGTAGATACTCCAAGGAAACTCTTCTAGAATGCCTTAAAAAGGTTTTATGAGGATTACAAAATGCCACACCCTATTTGAAGCGCGTTTAAGATCATATATGGAAAGCATTGCTGCTGTTAACAAGGCCTAGGGAGACAAACTGCACTATTTATTTTGGTGTAAAACTGACTTTAATTTTGGCCAAACACAGAATTTTGAAATGCCTGTAACTTTTTCCCATTTGTGAGTTGAACCATGATACTTTGCAAATTGAATCACTTTACAATGATATATGACACATACTATTGAGACATTGGTATATGTCTGCCTAAGGGGAGGGGGCATACTTTCGGGACACCCTGTATATGCATGTGTATCAACTTCATCGCAAGATAACAATGTTTGGTTGAGTATCAGTATCAGGGCTCTTCTTGGCCAACGATGTACAATCAGATGTTCAATAAGTAACGATAACAATGCTGTAACTTTTTTGTTTTTTATATATCTTACTAATCTTTCGTGCATTGTTGAGTATTATACTGATGTAATCTGAAGGTTACAGGACTTTGCTCTAACAGGAAGGTGGTGCTAGGTTGAGCCAAAGGTGGTTAATTGTGGATCAGGTCTGCACGAAAAAAGTCTCAAAACGACCAACTTAAAATGTGAATATTGCTCCTCAGTCAATTGCTTGCGCACCAACTTGTCACACATCAATGTCATCTCTAAATCATTATGAGTTATATGGGGTGTGCGACAGCTTTTGGTCACCCCTGTCTTGGTTCATCTTCAACTGACTTTCTCCCTCTTTGAAATAGCGGTACCAACGATATATGCCAGGGGTAGATAAAGTGTCCTTCCCATAAGCTTTATGGATATTCTCTATTGTATATTCTGTTTTAATTTATCTAGTAGTATATAGAACTTTTGGTGCTGAATATAATTGATATTCTGTCCAGCAGTCATGTTGTAGATGACATTATTTCTACTGAGTTCGTGTGATGTAATTTCTCCATGAAGTCATCTGATCTTAAATTGCTCTGTGATATCATTGGCTCACCGTGTTATGTAATTGTATTCTTATGAATTGCTCTGTGATGTCATTTCCACCTTGCAATTTGTGCTCTTTGATGTCATCAATAGGTACTGCCAAGGTATCTTAGTACCAGTGTTTATTTACCAACTGTCATAATGAATTCAAAAATAGAATTATGTATGAAAATGTTCACATTTTAATTAGGTTATCATGAAAAGAATTTCGTGTAGACCTGAACCACGACGAACCACCTTAGGCTCTACCCAGTACCATCTTCCTGTTAGAGTACATTCTTGTAACTATCACAGTACATCACTATAACGCTCAACAATGTACAGTAGAAAAGTTAATTAGAAAATATAAAAAATTAAAAAAAGTTACAGCATTTCGATCAGTACTTATTGTACGTAGCGATTTCCTAGATTTAGGCCTAATCCTTGGTATTGGGGATTCTTATAGTTAGTCCAAGATAGGGGCCTAAATAAACATGTTAAGCGATTTTTCGCATAATGTGTCCTAAAATTTAAGACACCATACCTTTACTTTCTCCACCCAACGACTGTTCTTAAATAAAAATTAACAAGTAATGAGCAAAGTTGTGTCTTAGGTTTTTAATTTTTTATCTATTTTACCCTTTACCTACTCGTTTTTACCCTTTACATACTCGTTTTTACCCTTTACATACTCGTTTTTACCCTTTACATACTCGTTTTTACCCTTTACCTACTCGTTTTTACCCTTTACCTACTCGTTTTTACCCTTTACATACTCGTTTTTACCCTTTACCTACTCGTTTTTACCCTTTACCTACTCGTTTTTACCCTTTACATACTCGTTTTTACCCTTTACATACTCGTTTTTACCCTTTACCTACTCGTTTTTACCCTTTACCTACTCGTTTTTACCCTTTACATACTCGTTTTTACCCTTTACCTACTCGTTTTTACCCTTTACCTACTCGTTTTTACCCTTTACATACTCGTTTTTACCCTTTACATACTCGTTTAAGCAAACCTAACCGTGAATGGCACTTATACCTGTGAATGTGATGATACAGTTGGCTTTAAACTTGTCGGAGATGCATGGGAAAGAGAATGCCAACGTGAGTAAAATTGAACAACGTTAACACCCCTAGTTAAGCAATTGTGACCAAAAGATGGTATTTATTGGAAGAGGTGGTCACGTTTTGCTGATCCTTATGTTGTAATCATGACTTAAAAATAAATAGTTAATCTTGGTGATTACTAGTGTCTAATAATTATTTGTTCATACGGTTATTGTAGGTGCATTACTTCAATTTTTCCAGCAACACCGGTTGGATTCTGGCCATTGAACAAGCTTCAAGAAGGTTCAAACTTTGCAGAGAATAAGATATTTGGAAGCGCGGAGATTCAAAATGTAAACTTTGTCGAAGGAGTCTCAGGAAATGCATCAGATGCCATAAAACTATTTAATGCATCATCTTCATTAAGGTAAGATTACATACGATCAATTAGCTTTCGTTTGTAAAGATAGTTAATAAATTAAAGAAGTGAACTCTATCGATTCCATACAAAAATGTAATTACTAGTTTGTGGCACACAATAGTGGTGATACTTGTTGGCAAATGATAAAATACATTTCGGAAAAAATCAGATTTCTTGAAATTGCATGAATTTAACCACCAATTGAATAAACTTTGCCATATATGCTTTTATACAATTTATGACGACTCTTTAGAATAGAATCAATTTTTGGTGGAATAACATTACGGAGCTTTACCTGGATGATATACGTCAAACCATTGGCAAGAAACGGTGGCGTTTCTATTTTAAAACACAGGATTGGAAACACGGAAATTACGATTTCTCTTGTGAACAACAAAATAGTAGCGAGTATCCAAGTGAAGGGAGCAAAATATGAAGTTAAAAGTGAAGAGGTCCCTGAAGAAGAATGGGCGTTTGTAGTACTTTCATTAAGCAAAACAAAAAGAATCCGCCTTCTTGTTTTCAAAGAAGACGATGAAGAAGAGAGCATACTTCGTGAAAAAGATATCAATGATCCAATGGATGATGAACAGAACCAAACTATTGTTATCGGGGGTAAACTAAATGATCCTCCTTTCATTGGCCTTTGTGTCGCCTGTCTCAAGTTCTATATAGTTGACCTTACGATCGATGAAGTCAAAGGTGCAAGACAAGCCTGTAGAAAAGGTAATAAGTAAAATCAAAAATTGTTATGTTTTGTGGGAATAGAAAAATGAACCAATGCGAACCAGAGACATATTTGTATGTCTCTGTACGAACGTACTTTTCTGTATACTTTAAACCTCAACTATTGACTATTAAAGTATAGTGAGGTGTGCATGATGGTTAATACGATTTTATTCATTAAGATGATAAACCATTTCTTCTCAGCCCTTCAGAAAGAAGCTATGAGTATTAGAATGGATTCTATTGCTTTTACAGATATACTGTTGGCTTCATGGCCTCTTAATAAGAAATACGATATCAAAGACATAAGTGGTAATGACAAACAGCTTCTCTTTACTCCGAGACTCAAACCTTTCCTCCCGGGACCCCAAGACCAAAGCAAAGGTTCAATCACATTAGGAAGAGAAGAGAATTTACGCCATAGAGACGGGCTTAAAACCTCCAGTAAGGTTGAAGTTGCAGATAAGATTACATGGCTAGGGTCCTTCTACATTGATCAAAGGGACGTTAGCGACACGTCATTTAAATATGCAATCATCGATTTCTCCACTGAGAACGAGTGGGGGTTTCGTGTATGGGTAGACTTTGATTCAAATGGAGGCAATGTAGGGAATCTTGTAGCGTCTGTTGCTGAACCATTGCCAGATAATACAATCAAGGTGCTGGCTGTTATTTTGATGAGGGTTTGGTACCACTGTGCCTTTAGCTATGACGGTAAAACTGGATTTTCTGCGTTGTACTTAAATGGTGCAAGGATCGAATATCAAACCTTCGAAATGAAATGGAATGGGATAAACGCGTTTGCTCATATAGGAAAAAGTAAACGTAGAGGTCTCGATATCATGAGAGGACGTGTGACTTGTTTCGAACTATATGAGGCGGTTTTAAACAATGCAGAGGTCAATCAAATTTACAATCAATGTCATGAAGGTGAGCAATAAATCATGAAATACCCTATCTACTTATTAACTTATGCCTGGTCGCAGGGGGTAAAAAGAAAGAATATATTCTGGCTTTTGAAGCCCTGTGATCGGAGGATGGGTTAAGAGGCTAAGCTTATCTATAGTCTCTCCATGAAGACTAGAGACTGGAGAATTTGGAGACAAAATCACAGGACCATAAACAAAGTACATGCACATTTAGATCTAAACTTCAAACTGTCCAATACGTTCGTAATATATATTATTAGAGAATTTTCGTTATAAGTTGTTTCAAAAACTTATATGTATACTTATAGTTTAAAGGGTCTTGTCGAACTAAAATCAATTCAAATTGATTTTCATAATCTGTACCAAGTGGGGCATAACTATTCCCGATATAGTTAACTAGGGACTGCGAATACAATGTCCTTTGCTAGTGTCAATTATGAACACGATAAACTAAACGCTAGTTGACGGGTCCTTGTAGTGTACGATAAACAAGACCCTTTAAAGTGAATCACTACACGAACGAGTCGATCATTTCAAAGTTCTCATGAAATTAAAAGGTCAATTTTTAAGTTTTTACGTATAAAAGGGCCTTTATACGCAGATTATAAACTTACAGAGTTGGATCTCCGCATAGTATAGGTGTGGACCTACTAACCAGAATGGCTTATTAAAATTAATCGGCTGAATAGGCATAGTATCCAATCAAACAGCTCGACTCATTCATTAGCTGAACAAATTCTCCCTTCGTTATTTCTACAAGGTGATTCAAAACGATCATCTACAAAAAATATATTTGAGAGTAGATAAATCTGTAAAGCCCGTGTGCTATATCAGCCTATTTGATTCTAGAAAACACATATGACACAACTAAACATGCTTTACATCAAGGGGGTATGGACGGTATGCCATTGACCCTTTTTATTAACGTCCCAGGAGATATTTCCCGACGAATTAGGAAATTATGAAACACCTTGTTTATTGGGTTTATAAGTATAAGTATACGTATAAGTTTTTAAAAAACTTATAACGAAAATTCTCTATTAATGCCTTGGTCACATTTGCTCCGATTTTCACTACGGCGCCCGGCCGATTGAGTATTTTATTCAAAATTGAATACAATATTGAACAAAACACTCAATCGGCCGGGCGCCGGCCGATGGATCGGGGCATATGTGACCAAGGCATAAAGTGATTAGAAAATCAACATAACAGTAAAATTTTAAATGTTTGTGAGTACTTTGAATTTAGAAAATAAGCAATCAAATGACCAAATTGAAACAGTATATGTAAAAATAGAAACATTTATATTTATCCTAACTTTTGTATATTTCAGATAGTAATGTATAATATGCAGCAAAGCTGTGGCCTTTTGTAATTTAGAAAGTTTCAGCCATGTTAATTTTTCCGAAAATAACATGGCAGAGAAGTATCAAAATATAAGAGGACACAGATATGATAGCCAAACTACAAAACAAACTAAAATATACAAAAGTTGGGATAAATATAAATGTTTCTATTTTTACATAAACTGTTTCAATTTGGTCAATTGATTGCTTATTTTCTAAATTCAAAGTACTCACAAACATTTAAAATTTTACTGTACGTAGTTGTAATCGTAGTTGTTTGTAATACGATCGTTTACACTTTACGTTGACATGCATATAAACAGGTTCTTCTACAACAATCGACAATGCAACGTGTAGCATCCAAACTGTTCAACCAGTATTTTTACGAAACGTTGGTGGGATAGAAGGTAACAAAGCAAAACCGCATAGTTGGCCATGGATGGTTCAGATACGTCATCGTGATCGTGGCGATTTTTTGTGCGGCGGATCTCTCTATAAGCCTGATATTGTTATCACGGCAGCACATTGTTTTGATGAAAGGTAAGTACAGTAAAACCTGTATACCGAACACCGAGCTAATCCGAACACCTCCCAATCTCCCGTTTTTCCTCCCATTGAAACCCACGTTAAAAACCTTAAAATGTGAACACAATTTAAACAATGAACAGTCATATTTGAAAAATTAACCTGTCTACTATGAAAACTTTTTATGAAATATCACATGTTTTACACAAAATTGCTCAAATATTTTAGATTTAAATACTAATTATTTGACAAATCACTTGAATGAAAAATATCAATATTTCTTCTGAAAAGCTTTCATGACCTCTCTTGATCCTTGATATTTTCTCATTAGCTGTTTGGTACAATTGCAAATGCAAATGAATTCATATTTTAAGTGTAAAATGTTTTTTTTTTCAGTTTTCCCGTTAAATTCTTTCCTCCTTCAAGATGAATCTAGCGTTCCAAAATCTACTTTATTTCACAAACAGTAATATAGTGGTACATGTTTGACATCATTTTTCAAATAAATTAGTCATACTGTTTTCTTAAACAGGCATTATCGTATTGCACGGTACAAGATTTCACACAATTTTTCAAATTTTTGCGTAGTGTTGAATTTACACCTTCCTACACCCCTGGACTGTATGTCCTAAAAATTCCGTAGTCGTATTTCTAGTCATTCAGGGCAGGTACTTGTACTATTACACTTTCTGCATTGAACACATTTTGAACTCGTGCTATATGACCTGTATTTTCAGAGATACATCTCCCGGACAATTCATTGTAGTCATCGGATCGCATTACCGTGCGAATCTTTCGAATGCAATCAATGTAACGCTTGTGGCAAACCATCCTGACTATGCGAGAGTTGGTACAGTTCCTTTGCATCATGATATTGCCATTATCAAACTGGCGAAATGTGTTGAATACAGTTCTAAAATACAACCAATATGCCTTACAAAATATAAAGTCTTTGCAAATGAGGACGAACGGTTTGAATGTGTTGCACTGGGATGGGGTCATACCGGAAGTAAGTATTTATGCAATTTAAAAACATCCAAATGTTTGTAAGGAATTGAATGAGCCTCTACATTATAACGAGACGAACTGCATGATACTTTAATGCAACATAACCCACATAGGATTTGGACAGTGTCACTTTTGAAAGAATACAGGATGTCCAAAAATTGTAATGGGATATACAATGTAATATACGTAGCTCTGTGAGTGATGAAGGAATATTCTTGAAAGTAGATCAGTATCTTTCAACAAGATTTTTTCATCTGACAAAAAAATTGGAGTCAGTATAAGCTAAAGTATTTAAATGGTAAAATATCCCTATCCTTAAGTTTCTGTAAATTTTTCAATACCATAATGTTATGATACTTTTCTAGCCTTCTAAAAAGTTGCAATTTTTTGGCACACCCTGTATATTCAACATTGCTTTCAATGGGAAAATCCATTCCGTTTGGATCTTGAGAAAAACATAATAAGCTCTACCTTGATGTTCATTATCATGCAAAAAGTTCAGCTTTTCCGATGAAGAAAAAAAGAGTTATTCCCTTTTCAGTTGGGTAAAATATTTTGGGACACCCTGTACATCTCAATTTTCGAAAGCACAGATATGAAAGTGTTTTATACCTAGCAAGTTTGTAAAGTATATAGTATAGATTTATGGAGTTATGATCCGAACCTTACACATTGGTATAATGTTATACAGAGGGTGAACTTTCTGAGGAACTGAAACAACTGCGACTACCAACAATACCATACGATGAATGTACGAAGATGTTAACTGATGTAGATGGCGCCAGTAGTTTCTGTGCTGGACACCTCGGGGCTAAAAAACCAGATACATGTGGTGTAAGTGGCGTTATTTAACTTTAACACACACTAAGTAAAAACACTGAGAGGAGTAGGCAAGCATCCTCCAATTCCAATTATTACGTAATTCAAGACTGAAAGATGTATCTATGAATGTCTGTTTTCTGCAAATTTGAATCTTGTTATTAAGTACATACAGTGTGGTTGTACATGTAGTCACAGAAATGCCATATTTACTGTTCATGAGCATGTGGGCACGATGGGATACGTTGACGTACATGTACACTCCCCTCCATAAGTTTGAGTTTTTATCGTACCTAACAAAAGGTACGATATTGTAGTCAGCTTGACGGACGGGCGGGCGGGCGGCGGGCGGGCGGCGTCTCACTTTTCAGCTTGTCTACAGGTTTCCAGCCAAACCATTTGAGGGATTCATCTGAAATTTTCAGGGATGTTTCTACATATCAACGTCAAGAACTGATTAGTTTTTGGGCATTCTGGATAAATCTTAAGGTGGTCATTTTGGATTTTCCGTCCTAAAATCTTCACTTTCAAGACTTGTCTACAGGTTTCCAGCCAAACCATTTGAGGGATTCATCTGAAATTTTCAGGCATGTTTCTACATATCAACGTCAAGAACTGATTAGTTTTTGGGCATTCTGGGTAAATTTTAAGGAGGCCATTTTGGATTTTCCGTCCTAAAATCTTCACTTTCAAGACTTGTCTACAGGTTTTCAGCCAAACCATTTGAGGGATTCATCTGAAATTTTCAGGGATGTTTCTACATATCAACGTCAAGAACTGATTAGTTTTTGGGCATTCTGGGTAAATTTTAAGGTGGCCATTTTGGATTTTCCGTCCTAAAATCTTTACTTTCAAGACTTGTCTACAGGTTTCCAGCCAAACCTTTTGAGGGATTCATCTGAAATTTTCAGGGATGTTTCTACATATCAACGTCAAGAACTGATTAGTTTTTGGGCATTCTGGTTAAATTTTGAGGTGGCCATTTTGGATTTTCTGTCCTAAAATCTTCACTTTCAAGACTTGTCTACAGATTCTCAGCCAAACCATTTGAGGGATTCATCTGAAATTTTCAGGGATGTTTCTACATATCAACGTCAAGAACTGATTGGTTTTTGGGCATTCTGGGTTATTTTTAAGGTGGCCATATTGGATTTTCCGTCCTAAAATCTTCACTTTCAAGACTTGTCTACAGGTTTCCAGCCAAACCGTTCAAATTTTTACATATGTTACACAGTGATAAGTTCTAGAGCTGATTAACTTTTCTGCGGCCATCTTGCTTTCTTGGTCAACAAGACCACAATGCTGTGTTTTAGGTACGATATTGTTCACGTCTGTGCCTTGTTTTGAATAGCTTTGATCTTAATTTTTTCCATAATTGCAGGTCATACTATTTTTTAAATCGCTAGAATGGGAGTGTATGTACAACATAGCTAAAATTACATCTTTGAAGAAGCGCTCAAATTCTTAGAGAAAAGATACATGGAAAAACATTGAATTGATTGGATTCAATAGGATTGGTTCAATTTGTAGCAGGTTGAAAAATTGACATTAATTTACATTTGAACCTTTAACTGTTCTTTTTTATCTCGATAAAAAAATTTGGGGTACTATGATACATGGCTAAATCTGTTTGACTAACAATTTTTATTTTTGGCATAAGGGAAGCCCGGAAGCCCTGCAACCTTGAGATATTTTTCCCGCCCTTTACCAAAACTAACCTATATGTTAATTGTATTCATGTTTAGGGTGACTCTGGGGGCCCTTTGATGTGCCAGTTTGGAACTGATCTTAGGCATATGCTGACAGGAGTCACAAGTTGGGGCAAGAATGCATGTGGGAGCAAAAACTCAGCTGGTGTCTACACAAGTATTTTCAAGCATAAACAATGGATTACAGATGTGTCGAACGCTTTGTCTGGTAAGTCGGTATCAATTAGTACTAATTATGAACAAGTCGTTGATATATGAAAAATGTGGATTTCCGCCTAGATATTAACTTACATGAAAAGATAAGATGGTTATATTTGATGCCATTGATATTTTAATTATTTGAGATTTTCAGTGTCATTTTATCCAGGATATTCATTGTCTCTCCAAACGTCCCAAATGAATCACACTGGCGTGTATGAATGGATACAGTCCCAGGAATACGATGTTCGTAAAATACCAGAAAGCACAAACATTAATACTATATTCAAGATGTACATATCATTACAGACTGTGGCCCTTCAGATGATTATTGTAAACAAGACGACTTCAATAACCAGACTGATGGAGTCCTAAGAAGGTTTGAAGTTCTCTCCGAGACTATTCGTGGTATAACTACAAACATCGCCACCCTTTCTGAAAGCAATGCTGAAATGGGGAGAAGCATCGGACAAATGTCATACACAGTAACAGGTTCGCCACTATAGTTTGAGTAAAATGTGTGTAACCCCCCTATCACACCAAACTCGTTCTTACCCGTTCTTGCCAGTCCTACGAAAACGTCGTAAAACGGGCTCAATCTGGCTGTGGTCGGGAAATATGTCTAAAATAATTAGCTACTTCGTTCATAAACAGTCTTCAATACGTCCATCTCATTCGCAGTTCGTTCAGGTCGCACCAGGTCGGTGTGCAACGTCGTGTAACGCGTCCCTTAGTCTAGAAGGTCATCATGACCTGATTACAGAACGGTATGGTCGCCATCGAATTTTGAATCGATTCAAAATTCTAAAATCACCTTCCCGTCTGAGAACGTTCATGAAGTTCGTAAATAGACCTTAGAAAGTTGCAGCTACGTTCATTCTGTTCGCACACAGTTTAAAACCAGTTTTGACGAACGCAGTGACAACTTGTTTGGTGTGATAGCTATATTTTTCCTAACTCGTTCATAAGCAGTCTTTAATACGTTCTTAGTCAGTTTAAACCCGTTTGCAATTAGTTCTACCTCGTTCTCAATACGTCCTCAGACAGTTCTACTCGTTGTAAAAACGTCTCTAGTAGGATTGAAGTACGACGGTTCCGTTCGTAGTACGTCCAGCTCGTCGTTAGTACGTTGTCACTCGTTCTTATTGTAGAACGTGACGACCACGAGAACATTTTGAGCATGTTCTAAGTTCTAGAGGACCAACCCGTTCGAGTACGTTCGATGAAGTTTGTAAATAGACCCCAAACGGTTCTAAGTACGTCCAGTCCGTTCGTACACAGTTGAAGTTCGTTTTCAAGAGCGTAGTGAGAACTAGTTTGGTGTGATAGTAGGGTTACTATCAAAAATAAAAGATGTAACGCTGTTTGTTTTGTCAAGACAATCATGATACTGTAGCTGTAGCCGCTAACCCCCCTATCACACCAAACTAGTTCTTACCCGATCTTGCCAGTCCTACGAAAACGTCGTAAAACGGGCTCAATCTGGCATTCGCAGTTCGTTCAGGTCGCACCACGTCGGTGTGCAACGTCGTATAACGCGTCCCTTAGTCTAGAAGGTCATCATGACCTGATCACAGAAAGGTATGGTCGCCATCGAATTTTGAATCGATTCAAAATTCTAAAATCACCTTCCGTCTGAGAACGTTCATGAAGTTCGTAAATAGACCTTACAAGTTGCAGCTACGTTCAATCCGTTCGCACACAGTTTAAAACAAGTTTTGAAGAACGCAGTGGCAATTTGTTTGTTGTGATAGCTATATTTTTGCTAACTCGTTCATAAGCAGTCTTTAATAATAATCAGTCTAAACCCGTTTGCAATTAGTTCTACCTCGTCCTCAATACGTCCTCAGACAGTTCAACTGTTGTAAAAACGTCCCTAGTAGGATTGAAGTACGACGGTTCAGTTCGTAGTACGTCCAGCTCGTCGTTAGTACGTTGTCACTCGTTCTAATTGTAGAACGTGACGACCACGAGAGCAATTTGAGCATGTTCTAAGTTCTAAAGGACCTTCCCGTTCAAGTACGTTCGATGAAGTTTGTAAATAGACCCCAAACGGTTCTAAGTACGTCCTGTCCGTTCTTACACAGTTGAAGCCCGTTTTCGAGAACGTAGTGAGAACTAGTTTGGTGTGATAGTAGGGTTAGCAATCGGCCATGATCGAACATCAAACGAAAATGGGACAACCGTGGATAAGTTCAGACTAAGGGGCAAAGCCGGGAATGAATGATATTTGGAAACATAATTAATTGTGACTTACTTACGCTCTTTGAAGGAAATGATCTTGGTAATGGATGTAGCACAGGTGAATGTTGCGCAGATAATTCGATGTGTTCAGGGAACGTGTGTGTCTGTATGACAGGGTTTTACAACGTTGATTCGGTGTGCAGATCCGTAAATGGTTAGTAGTTTGACATTGTCATCTCATGTGCCCTTAAGATTAAGATATATAGCCCTGTTTTTGATCTAACATTTAACGTGGAAAAAGTAGTTGGATAGTAACTGTTGGGAAGTGTTCACTGGAGGCTCGTTCAACACTAGATACGTTGGCATTGGGACTTGGGACTTGGGACTGCAAAGTGTTTCACTTACAGAGATGTTCCATTTAACAAAATTTTCTTTAATTAAATCCAATATCACGCTTAACTCTAATGTCTGCAGGGAGGGGGGGGGTCAAATTGACCTCCCCTCCGTTTGTAATAGTACTTTTTACTTCTAATTACTGTAATACTATTGTAGGGTAGAGTTATGGCATTGGAAAGATACATCTGTATGGTAATTAAGGATACCAACAAATGCCAACTCATCAAAACGTAGCTAGATGTGCCTGTTTCAACAGCAAATTGAAATTGAATCTTGTCAAGAAGTTAATGCAATAAATACTTTTGTGGTAACCATGGTGTTATGTTTTATCCTAAAATACTATGAGTTATATTAAAATCAATGTACGGAGACTGGTTTGCAAAGTTACAGACAGTGAAATGAGTTGAAATGTAGGCATGATATGACACTATTCATTTTTAGCTCACATCAACTGAACATATATACAGTATGCATATTTGTTGTACTTGTACATCTGTATTGACATTTCGATATGATTATAATAGCTATATGACGCAGAAAGAGGTCTGTATAAATATAATGATAACTGTTTGTTTATTATATTTGAAAAGAATAATTAATATTAAATCAACATAGTATTGAAGAATATATGTATAGGAAGCAGGCGCGTCGCAGTGGCGGATCCAGATATTAACAGGGGGGGGGGGGGGGATTTTGAGTCTGGAACCAAAAACTGGACCAAAACTGGGGATTAAACTCAAAATAACAATATTAGCACCAGAAAATTAAGAGAATTAGATTATCTTATTGAGGGCCGGTAAAATGGTCCTATTTATTTAAGCAATAAGAATATCCCCAGCTCCTGACCAAGTCCCCCCCCCCCAATACAGCCAACAACTCGATCAGGCCTCAGCTTAAAAAACTTATATTTATAGCATGCATGCTTGTTGCATATGGCACGAGCCCCGTTTCATATGACATGAGGCCTATTTCATATGGCATAAGGCCTAGTTCATGTTGCATAAGGTATATTTCATATGATATAAGCCCTATTTACTATGACATGAGGCATATTTCATATGGCATAAGGCCTATTTCATTTGGCACGCGGTGTATTTCATGTTGTATAAGGCCTATTTCATAGGACATAAGCCCTATTTAATATGACATGAGGCCTAATTCAAATGGCATGAGGTCTATTTCATATGATATGAGGCCTATTTAATATGATATGAGGTCTATTTCATATTTCATGTGGTCTATTTCATATGAAATGATTTCATATGGCTTGAGTTCTATTTCACATGGCACGAGACCTATTTCACGGAGGCCGATTTCATATGGCATAAGGCCTGTTCTATATGGCATGAAACCTATTTCATGTGACATCAGGCCTATTTCATAAAGTATGAGGCCTTTTTCATATGGTATACGGCCTTTGTCATGTGACAGGAGGCCTTTTTCAGTAACTTAAGGTCTATTTCATGTGGCACGAGTCCTATTTTACATGGCATAATGCCTATTTCATATGTTATGAGGTCTATTTCATGTGGCATGAGGCCTCTTTCATATGGCATAAGGCCTATTTCATGTGGATATGAGGGATTGAGTTGTAAACCTCCTCCAATGTGTTTCTGTTCCGTTGCATAATCTAAAAGATGGCGTAACATTTGTAATACATTATATTGAACTTCAGACTTTCTAATAATATACAATTATCAATACATCATCAAAATGATTTATTCCGTTTTCCATATGTATTTTATATAATTCGGTTTCAATAAAATAAATCCAACTTAGTGTACCCGAAGTAAACTTGTATTTTTAAGTTTCAATGTTACTTCATCGGTGGCTTATTTCCAATATTCCCCTACAATTTAATATACAAACATGATCCACGATTTTACTTATTGACGGAGTCTCGTTACCACATACAGTAGGACGGCACATTGAAAAAAACCATTGTTGTTTACCAAACTTTATATCAAAGTGGTGTAGCGATATATGACGTCATCGCACTACTTGTTTCTGGTCCGTTGGCTACCATCTTTATGAGGTCCATTGAAATGGTAAACATTTAAACATTTGAAAATGAAAGTGACGGATAGAATTCTACCGATCTCTTCTTTCGAACTGTCTCATTTTAATGTTAGAAAAATGCACATGAATGAGAGTAAAATGCAATCAAACACGTGAGACTTTCACTCATTTTGTACCCTATATTCGTGCGAAATTAACATTGATTAAACATCGTTTTTTTAAATGTCTGAATCGCTTAAAAGTTAAAGTAAATACGATATTTTATAAGTACCAAATATCAATCAGTTCCGATAAAATGCCTTAATTTGTTACATTTTCTGCGAAAACGGTTGGCATAATTTCGGTAGAAATATGTATTTTATGACGTTATATGCATGGTTGAATCCAAAAAGTAGCGTCATTCAGAAAATTATCATGTGTGCGTAAAAGCATGTGGATATTTCATTTTGAGTAACTGAATTATCAAATTGACATATATATTGTCTTTGGAACATCACCTTTACACAGAATTATTTTCATAATGATTGCTCGTTTTGTTCCATGATAAATGCAATTTTAGACCTGCAGCTGACTCATATCAAAAATTATTTAGCAATGAGTTCAGGCTCACTGATTTTTAAGATAGATGAAATGAACAAAAAAGGGAAAGGGTTATGTGTGCGGTAAAGCATGTGGATATTAAACTTTCAATAAATGAATTACAATTTTGATGTTTATATGATCTGAAGAACATCACCTTTACACATAATTATTTTTATAATAATTGTTCGATTTCTTTCATGATAAACTGCAATTTTAAACCCGACATGTATTAAAGAAGTATCGGACAATGTATTAAGGCTCACTGATTTTTAGGATGAATAAAATGAGCAAAAGGAAAAAAGGTCACGTGTGCGCAAAAGCGTGTCAGTATTTGGATTTGAAGAAATGAATTAAAGTTTTGACATTAATATTATTTGTGAAGCATCACCTTAACATAGAATTATTTTTATAATTTTTGCTTGGTTCCTTCCATGAGAAAATGCAATTATAGACCTGGCACGCGTATCAAAGAAGTATTTGGCAATTGCGTCCAGTCTCTTTGGTTTTCAAGGTAAATTAAATAAGCAGAACTGGAAAAGGTCATGTGTGCGTAAATGCGTGTCATTATTTAATTTTGAAGAAATGAATTAATTTTTTGACATTAATATTATTTGTGAAGCATCACCTCTACGCAGAATTATTTTTATAATTTTTGCTTGGTTCCTTCCATGAGAAAATGCAATTATAGACCTGGTACACGTATCAAGGTTGCATATAGCAATTGCGTTCGGTCTCCTTGGTTTCCAAGGTAAATGAAATGAGCAAAACTGGAAAAGGTCATGTGTGCTTAAAAGCGTGTGAGTATTTAATTTTTGATAATTCTTTTGACATTTTTGACATTTATTATATCTATTGGGAATCATCTTTACACAGAATTATTTTTTGATTCAAATTTAGTTCCTTCTATTAGAAAGGCATGGCTAAGATTGGTTCATATGTATAACTGTAATGAGATTTTTATGTTTAAATCGCACAAAAAGAGATAATGTCACATGTGCGTGAATGCATGTCAATATCTTATTTTTAAAACTGAATTATGATTTTGACATTTTCATAAGCTTTAAACCATTGTCTTTCCACATATTTATTTTCTTAACATGAGAACTTTAAACACGTTCTAAATAAGAAAGGCCAATGTGAGTTGAATTAAAATTAAAAAAATATTAATTATCTGCGCATTTTCGTTATATTACGTCATATGGGATTTCGTGCTTTAAGTGGGCTGAAGGTGAAGAATGGCACGTGTACGAAAACGTTTGTTACCAATTCATCTTTCAAAACACATTTTTATTTTTTACATATCTATGATCTATGATATATAACCTATGTAAAGAATTATTTTCAAATTAATTGCTAGGTTAATTCAATAAGCAGGTTTCAACATCCCCGTCTATGAATATTGATCTTTTTCAGACAGCAAAGGTAAGTTTAAAACAGAAATACTTCTTACAAATCCAAATTACATATTAAACTTAGAATTGTGATCTACGATCTTATGGGTATGTCACAAATTTGATTAGATACATTCGCTCAGCACGCCGTTAAACATATAATTAACTTTACAAGCGTAACTATAGGTAATTTCGATTTTAGCATGTTCAAGTTCAAGTTCTGTAGTCTCGAGAGTCAAACGATTATCATAGTTTATTTGGCATGCTTTTAGAATTGGGAAAACAAAGGCAAGGTTTATGTTTTATGAACATTCTGATTTGATAGCAAACTTTATTTTTGAGTGTATTAAATCAAATAAAGCTTATTGCGTCGGGACCTGTACGTTCGCCCAATTAAAGGCAAATGTGCCGTCAATTAAATAAACATGCACAGTGGTACACCGTTTTTGGAAAACATAACACTGATAATAGAAATTCATCAATTGTTATGAAATTTGCACCATCATTAAAAGGAATCTCGAATTTCATGATGACAAAATATCGGATAAATATGACAAGAAATAAAAATTTGTTACATTTTTTCCCAAAAAGTTGTAAAATAAAAATAAACTAAAAAAATAATATTTTCACGACAAAAAATAAATAGTTCAACTGTTTTGATTCTACATGACGTTTTCAAAGAGTAGAGAGCTAGATTCAAAGCACCGTTCCTGCAAGTTTCAAATGAAAATATTAAAAACTGCGCGAGTAAGAGGACCGCAACTTTTTATGTCTACACTGTCAAAAACTTGAAATTCCCGTTGTAAAGATATAGTCCCACGCGGAAGTGCACGTCATAAAGCCGATGGGTTAAGGCAATGTGCCGTCCAACTGATATTGTGGGAGTGGAAGACAGGCAAGGCCAGATATACATGATATTCGACATTTAATAAGGGCTGTCGAGATTGCGGGCACTCTTCAGATGTGCTACTCATCGACATGATAATAACCACGAAACACAATGTACTGAACTGATAATAGTAAATGCAACAATGGCAATTTTTACATTCGATATCTGAAGTTTCAGCTCTGTATCAACTGACATTTATTTGGTATGTTCCATTTGGCATATTCTCGTTGGATGACAAACATGAAAAGTCAAACGAACATCAAGCTAGACTGAGGAACTGCAATTGAATCGTAAGCGGATGATAATTGCCCAACAATACAATCTTGCATCGGTTAGCGTATAAAAAGGAGTGATAAAAAGGAGTGATTATATTATTCTAGCTAGTTGGCAATCGTATTGTAAAATTTCACACCTCTTGCACCCCTCACGGTCCACGGGAAACAGTCTTCAGAAAGCCACTTGATCCCGGCGTTGTCTGATCGACCTGTGCAAGATGGAGCCTGTTAAGCCGTCGGGCTGCAGCTGGGATAATAACTTTGGGGAGTATAGGGACAAATTGGACCGTTCCCTCGGCAAGTTGCGGCGAGATTTGGTGAGACACTTTTATTTGTAATCAATACATGGAAGCTGCTAATGGCAATTTAATTGTACCCTTGATACTATTCTAGTCTATAATGGTGATGCTTCATTGTGTTTTATGAATATTGTATAACAATTGTATTAGTCTCCTTGCATAGAATATTCAATGATATGAGATCTTGGTCAACACCGACATGGGGACGGAGTGATTTTTTAAACCAAGAGGTGCATGTCAAGGTCACACTAACATGTCACAATTTTAGCGTGTGAGCTCTCGTTATATCTCAGATTTTTATAACTCCGGTAGATAGAGATTAAAATGTCACAAAATGTCAATGGTTTTACATTACTACCGAACTTGTAATAGCTGTATAATTTCTATGTCTGATATTAGCAATGAAATATCAGTTTATTAATAAATACTTTACTTGATAACAGTTATCTATGGAGATGATGCGTCGTGCTACAATCAAGACTTGTGTGTTTCGCTTCTGCTTCATCATGTTCATATTCTTAGTGGAAATCTCATTGTGGATTTCATGGTCTTTTATTTGGCGTAAATGGCAAGTGTAATTGCCGTATTTAGCAAGTTTAATCATAGCCTGTGTTCAATGTGACAATCACGATGAGCTCGTTAGATTGATATAATAGCCATATCTCATGCGTAATGATTATAAAATAGACAGAATTATCCCGTTTTCCTGTCTTCGCCCAAGATGACAACGTAACACATTTTGTGTGTACATATTTACACTAGATCGTAACTGAGCTATGGGGTTTCCTTTTTAGCAAGAGAGACATTAAGTGTCATTTATTAAATCAAATGCTTTTTTGTCACAGTTTTACATGGTACACCTATCTAGCCGTTCCAATTTTATTTTGTTTTGATTTTTAAGGTCATTTTGCAATCATTTTGAAAAGACGGGCGTCTCATCTTCAATTGAAATGGATTTGGACATATCTGTAATTGTCAATTTTTATCAGATTCTAAATTCTTTATTTAAATTATAAAAGATCCGAGTATCTTCTGTTCTCACGAGAAAGACTCGTTTGTAGGTAATGTAAGCCGATTTAAATCACAAAAAGTAATAAATAGTAAAGTATTAATTCTTATTGAACAACCCACGGCCCTCCCAGTTGGATTGATATATTCTTGGCGAGATGTATTACTTTCTAAATGTATCCCCAAATTTCAAGTTTGTTCAATCACAAGTTATGGAATGCGTATATCCCCAACTCAGAAAGGTCAAGAGGCCTAGTAGTGATTTATTTTTACAAATGATCGGTTGGTTATAATGAGAAAACATAACTCTTTTGAATGATATTTGCATACGGTATTGATTTTACGAATGGTTATGTCATAAATTCAACATATTCACTTCATCGAAATTATTTTTGATTCAATGAACATTTCAATACATTTATTGTTTTGGGTTCAGGGGGAATGATCTCAAGCAAGTTTACAATACGTTTTAAGCCGTGTGTGGTTAAGCTGTTTACTATTGAGATAATCGAACATAATCAACTAAGAAGATAAAGCGCTTGGCTGGTCCGATATACGGACGGGTGGATAAATTCTGAAACAGCTGATCGCAATATGATATTCAATCATAAACTTGGTATTTATCAATTTATGTCATATTTTGTACACGGCCCATCGTGGTGACAGTTGGGCTATTTACTTAGATTTTAGATTATTTATTACTGTGCTTTTCATATAACGTTGACACGAATTGCTGCACCTTTCATGTAACGTTGACACGAATCGCTGCACCTTTCATGTAACGTTGACACGAATTGCTGCACCTTTCATATAACGTTGACACGAATTGCTGCACCTTTCATGTAACGTTGACACGAATCGCTGCACCTTTCATGTAACGTTGACACGAATTGCTGCACCTTTCATATAACGTTGACACGAATCAAATTATGTGAGAAATAAATAATGCGTCCGTTGTATAGACAAACCCGGAGTACATATACTTTGCTTGGCCTGTTGTCTTAAGTCAATGAACGTCTTGATAGTATTCTAGATCTGTTTTGAGGGAAATCAGAGGCTTTGGAAACTCACAATGATGATACTATATCTAGTATTCATGTATTCATTAAAAAGAGGATCAGGAACATATATCTCTTGTGGAAATAATTGTTGTTTAGCGCTGACCAAAAGCTCTCTAGGGAGTTTGCAATTTTTAGAAACAAAACAATCCAACCATGAACATGGTATGGGGGGAGGGGTGGCCGAATTTAACGCGTAACGTTTACCGCGCTTCCCTCAGTTTCATTAATCTTTATTACAAGCGCAATTTTTAAAACAATATTACCAATTGTCATGTGTTCTTTCTCAATAAGTTCTTCAGTCATTTCTCAATAATGTTCTTTGGGTCACCCTCCTCACAACATGAATGTTTTCAATGTTAATATCCATCACAAAGATATGTCTAGAATATGCCTGTGAAAAAGTTAGAGAGACGTTGCGGACAAACTCTCCTGGCCATGTTTGCCGCCACCGACAATTTATAAGTACCCGTACGCCCCGAAAAAGAATATCCTGGTATATTCGGAATACATAAAACATAAAATAAGGTTAAACTCATTGCATCATAGGAAACAGAAATGACCTCTTAGAAGAAGAGCTAGAGCAATCGAAATGGTCGTAAGTGTTTTTAAGTGTTGGATTGGGGGTAATCCGTTTTTGGCAGATGACTTTAAAATTTGTTTTGAAATGTAAGTTCGGTTTTAAACTTAAAATTATTTTCATGCCGTGATGTTTCGCGTTGTGTTATTACCCTCATTTGACATAAAAATAGTTATATAATACTGCTATACATAAAAAATGTGCGAGACAACGAACTTTATCATTACTTTTAACTGTGATGAATTTCATTTTGTATAATATATCATATCTACAGGTATTCATGTCAATATTTCCTTATTTTTGTGTTAGATCTTCTAAAAAGCGCATGTAGAATTCTTTTTTTTGAAAACACATACAGTTCTTAGCAAGTCCATGGACAGATGTATGCAGTGAGAAAAAATCGTTTCAAGGGCAGGTGATTTCCCAGCTATTTGCCTGGGTTACTTAAATTGGCAATTAAAAATCAACATGTGTTTCATTAGTTCTTGTAACGAAACATAACTCACTGATATGCTTCGCAAAACGTGAAATTGATTAATCAAACTTATGTACATCAACAATAACTGTCTTGAGTTTCTATTAGCTTTACGATATGATATGACGATATGGTTTGGATATTCATCAAATTATTCCTTGATTCTCTGGGGAAATAATATCATAATGTTATATGTCTCTGTCTTTCACATGACATTCTTCATAGCTAGCTTGCGATCTGAATAAAGAGATATAAGATATTTGCAATCTTCGACTTCATGACATATACGGATTTACCCTAACAGACAATGAACTTTAGACAGATTTTTAGGGCAACTGTAAAACTTTATCACAATCTACAAGACCTAGGCTGCAAGATCATTCGGTTGAGAGAGAAATATGTCAAACTCAAAATTACCGTCTACATGTAAGCGTTACTTAAAGGCATACTCTTTCGCATAATTACACTGACATTTTTTGTCCGATGATTTGAATACCTCATAATAATAAGTGTGTCGTTAAAAACCAGTAGGTATTGGATCACTTTTTGATGTTGAATAAACAGTTTATTCATGAAAGGAAATTATCTGCCCATGTTCCAATGTCTCATACCGAGTCAAATTACCCGTCAATATCAATTCCATTCAGTTGTCGAAAAACGTAACTCAAATCATATTTAAATGATAAGTTGCCAATTTGCATACTTGTTGAATCGCCTATCGAATAGATGAGTAGTGTGCAGTCATAGTATGCATATCAGCATGGCCATCTAGCTAAATGCCAAAAGAAATAAAGGGACGTCTGGGGTTTCCGTATCATATACAGTAATCTTGCTTGACCAAAACCTCTTCTGCCATCTATTTACAATAATCTGGTATTAAAGTGTTCATTGTACTTATGTAATGACTACAGAGGGGATTTTATACAGGAGCCAATGCTACATGCGTCTTGAAGTGGGGTTCTCTGAACACAGGTATTCATCAGAGTGTTCCTGGAGACTGTATCAACAATGCAACTCCTCTACTGGAAATGTACTGAGGAGACAACCTCTGCAATTGGTTGTGCTACAGAAACTGATTGTGCCAAAGAAACAACAATCATAAATAATTGCATTAAGAAGATGACATCTGTAATCGATGGCAGCGCTAAGAGAACAATAATTGATACTGATTGTGCAAGGAGAACAGATGACATCAGTGATTGTGCTACCCATACAAAATCTGTCATTGATTGTGCTAAGAGATCAACTTTTGACAATGATTGTGCTACAAAAACAATCAATGCTTATGATTGTGCTTCGATGAATTCTGTGTTACATATAATCGAGACAGCGACTTCTACCAGTGGCGTAGCCAGGATTTGGTGACCGGGGGTTCTATTTTTATGTTATTCACAAATCCCCCCCCCCCCCTTCATTAGGGTTTCTCAAATAATTCAATTTGTACAATTACACTCCCTCCAAAAGTTTGGCAATCCTAACTACCCCATTGGATTATGTACTAAAGCATATTTTTTAAGTTTGAATTCTTATTTGCATAATTTGTAAAGAAAACTATTTTGGGAGGGGAAATATAATTCATTTCAATACCTTCATTAAAGGCAGAATCTGATCTATAGGGGGTGATAAAATTGGTGACCGGGGGTTCTATTTTTATGTTATTCACAAATCCCCCCCCCCCTTCATTAGGGTTTCTCAAATAATTCAATTTGTACAATTACACTCCCTCCAAAAGTTTGGCAATCCTAACTACCCCATTGGATTATGTACTAAAGCATATTTTTTAAGTTTGAATTCTTATTTGCATAATTTGTAAAGAAAACTATTTTGGGAGGGGAAATATAATTCATTTCAATACCTTCATTAAAGGCAGAATCTGATCTATAGGGGGTGATAAAATTACAAGCAACATGTATAATTGACCTACCAATCTATTCCTTACAATATCAAATAGTACAATATCTCCCAAAAGATTCACAACATGTTATAAATTGGTGAAGTTATGAATGATCCAAAGTGCAAAAATGAGTGAAAAATGTTTAAATTCTCCCAAATAATAAGAATGGTAACCATTCTTATAGAAAAATAATACATTTTTGTAAAAATCTTTAGTTTTCCTGGAATAAAGTATGCACTGTTTTGATTTTTAGAAAATAGACATGACAAGGAATGACATGAGAAAAGTCTGGACGTAAAAATGATTTTCAAAAATGACCTTGTAGCTTTGCAACTTTAATGTTCACAAAGTAAAATAAACAGGCAACGTGCAAAAAAGTCAGACAACTTATAATTAATTTTCTGCATCAAAATATACTTCGGGGAATCTTTTACTGAATACATATCCTGAAATCTGATTTGCCCCGAATCCACCATTATTTCGACTGATTTCTGGAAGACCCTGGAGCATGATTTGTTTCCAAGGAATATCAACTATTTCGCACAATTTATTCTTTAACTTAAGCTACTTCATCTAGGACAAAATAAATCACCTCACCACCGCTTATCATTATTTTTCAGGAAATTTGTTGGAAGCCAGTTCGGATCAAATGCAAGGTTGTTGAAATTGACGCAAACACCCATATACTCCGAAAGATCGTTCTTCTATGATAACTTTTCACAACGTTTACACGAAGGCTTTATAAACTATCCGGGATAGTCGACGTATTACTGATGAAAATATCTATTATTCAAATAAGTGGGTCTCGGTTATGCTTTGTTTTAAAAAGTTAAAAATATTTCTTTGGACGTCATCGGAGCTCAGTGGTAAGACCCCCAGAGCAGATCAACCGCAATTGATAATAAAAACGTTTTAGTGGATAAAATTATACATAAATACAAGCGACTGTTATTTTGTTAAGTTCAGACGGCTTAATAACAAAGGCCTTCATTATTTGAAGATTAATACCATATAATTTTTCAAAACATATCAGGACATTAACATGAAAATAGAGAGCAAGTAAACCGGAACGTTAACAATTTGAATTCTATACAATCTCTTAGATGAGTGGAGTGTATCTGAAAAAACAAAATCATTTTTTGCAATGATTGATTTTTCTTTGGAAAGTGATGGGTAAATAAATACTGAACAAATGAAAGAATGAATGAATTTGAACAAATCCTTGTGTTTATAAATGATATACGCTTTTAAATAATTCATTTCACAACGTTTTTAATTATTAATTGGTTTCGGGGACTTGCCAGCCCCAGGGACGCCCCAAGAAATATTTTAAATTTTAATCGAAATAAAACAAAACAGAGATGTACACATTTGAAAGAACATGTGTTTCATCAACACTATTAAGACTACTAGTATTCCAGATATTCATTCGCCAATGTTGTAAAAATCATTCGGAGTATGGGACGTCTGCATTGTTTTCAATAACTTTCAATAACTTCGTATTGGGCCAGAACTGGCTTAAAACAAAATTCCTACAAAGGACTGATTTAGCCATTGCCCAAGATGGGTTATTTTGTCCGAGATGAAGCATGCCAAACGTTTTGGGGGAAGTGTAACTTCACTATGACATGTTTTTAAGAAAATATGACTCTCGTGTTCACCATCACAAATATCAATTCATTTACTGCTCATATATGTATTTTGAAATAGCACAGTAATTTAATGATTCTGGTTGTTTTATGCATTTTTCCGCAAAATGATATTTTGGGAAATCCTGACCGGGGGTTCGTTCGAACCCACCGAACCCCCGCTGGCTACGGCTATGGTCTACAGTGATGAACACTTTATTGAATGATGAATGTAGAGACATTTTGGCGCATGGCGAAACGTAAAGCGCCATCTATGAATAAAACAACTGAGACCAGGAGCTATGCACAGAAGAAAGCGTCATTTGTGCTACAAATGTGGGGACGCAACCCATATGTATGTGAACTGTCCATTGAAACATACTGTTATTAGAGACGTTTAGATTAGTTTGTTTTTAAGTCAGCCCTGGGCCAATTCGCCAAAAAATATATTCCGCCAAATGCATTAGGAGTCTGAATATTAGCAAAGTGTCTAATAGAACTAAATGCTAGTCGGAAATAATCAAGATTTACGTCATTAAAAACTCAAAATACAGCCAATGTGATATCACATTTAAAATCTACATGTAAAATTACATGATATAAAAATGTGGTTTTTAAAAGAGTTTATCAACTTTGAAAATTTGTTTTCCTTTGAAAATGTGACTTATAGTTCGGGGAGATTCCTCATAGACCCCATGTTACAAAATCACAAAAGTGTAATATCTTGCATTGTATTGGACATATAACATTTTCTTTTGCTGGACATATTTTAATTAGATACATAAGGGTAATATGAAAATTGAACCACTGAAATTGATAAAAAATATGCAAGTAAGTTTTAGGGTATTTTCTAATACCCTGCCATGTTATTTCTGCCCCAAATTAGCCACCTGGTGGTGAAACTCGTTACTGGCTACTCGCACCTTGGCTGACACTTATCTTTTCTTTCACGAACCACTTGGAGCAGTGCGAAATATTGAATTGAAGAATGATATCTCCGAGCAATTCGTTCAGTGTAGAACACATCGAAGAACAAACTGCGATGGAGATATGAAGAATGGAAAATAAGAAAACATGGAAAGCACTGGCGGAAAAGAGGGAAGATTTGTAGATTTTTGATTAATGACTATTGATCCGACTTGTATAAATCATGATGTAGATGTTACTCGGTGGATTGGATAATTCTCCAGTTGATCGTGAAAATGTAATTTTCTTACAAAAACGCCGAGCAAAATTAATATTAAAACAAATGAACTGACTGGAAAAATACGTTTTACTTATTGATAAACTGGACTAATCCAATTTCAATCTTGAAGACGTACATGTTCACCCTGTGTCTGATATGTTTGGTCCACGGATTCGTATACTTTAGTTTAACAGTACAAGTCCCTTGGGTAGGTACTCAGCGCAACAAGTTCGATCTTCAAAAATCATTGGAATGTGTATTACAATATAGACATACGAATTAATCGAACTCAATGTATCGTATTGGCCACCATCGTTTTCATCCCTTAAATGCTTCATAGTTTTCAAATAATAGTTCCACAGTTTTCAAATAATAGTTCCACAGTTTTCAATAATAGTATTGTAATGCGCACGAACGTCTGTTGTGAAGGTAGCGTGTGAACCTCAATAACCCAGATGCGAGTAGAAATAATCTTGATTTACGTCATTAAAAATTAAATTCAAAATTAAGTCAAAGTAATATCATATTTGAAATCTACATGTAAAATTACATCTAGAAATGTGGTTTTAAAAAGTGTTTATCAACTTTGAAAAATTAATTTTCTTTGAAAATGTGACTTCTAGCTCGGGGAGATTCCCCATAGACCCCATGCTATAAAATCACAAAAAATGAAATATCTTTTCTTTTAGTGGACAGATAATATTTTGCTTTACTGGACATATTTTCATTAGTATAAGTATCAGACACATAAGGGTTATATGAAAATTGAGCCACTTAAATTGATAATATTCAAGTTTAAGGGAACTTTCTTATATACCTGCCATGTTAATTGACCCGAATCAGCCACCTGGTGGTGAAACTGGTAACTACCTACTCGCATTTGGGTAATTCCGCATGCGCAGAGAAGTACAATTTGATGTAGGAATCTGACCTTGTATTCGCGAATGCAACTAACGCCTGTCGGCTACCGGATTAACCTACTATTTTATGAGCAACTCATATATGAATTGTACCTCCCACTATTCCGTTCATATTTAAATCAGTTGCTCATAAACTAGTAGGTTAATCCGGTAGCCGCTAGCAGATAGTTGCCTTCGCGAATACACTCTAAGTTGATGCAATTTGGTTTATTCCAAGGCTCTCGTGTTATGCTCAAAACTGTTTAGAGTCTCTACTCTCTATATTAAGTTTAAACCACTTTGGGTAATATTGTAATCTTAATTATTTTTCAGAATTGAAACAGAATTGAAACTGAATTGAAAATGAAACTGATAACTCACTCAATTCACCCTTTTTTGGTGATTACCTTCTAACGTACAGTGCATCAGTTATCTGATCAGATTCAGAGTGCTGAGTGGGATGACGATCCCGCTTTTCCGACGTTGTAATGGGCAAAACGCGTTCCTCTTCTCATATATTTGATTGCATGTGTTTGCAGCTTCTATTACAAGAACAGGACCAGCTTCTTCTGCGCCAGCTATTGCGAATACATCACACGATCGGAACGCTAAGTGGGAAACATGGTCGTCGCCAGAGTTACGGAGGTGGGGGTACGCGCAAAATAAGCCTCGAGAATTTGGCGATACCGGGCCAAGGTCAGCCACGGCGTCTTTCAGCCTCGAAGATCATCCCAGTCAGGAGGCAAAGTGAACCATTCGTGATGCAAGATACGTGTAGTAGTTACGAAGATGAAATGAGTGACACATTGGAAGATATCGTGGAAGTGGCCCATCATCTAGAAAGGAATAATAACAGAAGAGGTACATGTGGTCGCCTGGAATCATAGAACATCTTGTCATGCGATCGTAAATGACCATTTAGAATAAAAAATAAGAATTTTAAAACCCCAAAAGGTAGATTAAAATTGGAAATCAAAATCTTTGTAATTTTTATTATGAAGTTATGATTAGTGAGTCTACATCAGTAAGATTCAATTTACCATTTATTCGCACTTGCTGTCTTTTAATTGTCGTCGTATTTTGCTTCTGACTCCGAGTGTGAGGGTGCGACATAAACCTTGTCATCAAACAGGAAAACAACTTATTCCTTCAAATTGAATTTTTACAGATGCAAGAGCAGTCTAATGCCAGCCAATATCTCATTAGGTTTTGGGCATGCTGGGCAAATTACACGGCGGCCATTTGCTCTTCATAGTGTGATATTTTTCGCTGTTTCTTGTTTTATTCAAATTGATTATGTCAGGGGAGAGATCTGGATGTTTTCAAGTCTCAACATGAAAACTAAGCCTAACTGATGCGTACTTTTTCCGAATAGTAACCGTATTAGTTAATCGTTTTATTTCGAATTCTTTTTTCAGATTCTCTGGACAGTTTCGAGGAGAGCTTAGAGAGCCTTGACATGAACCTAGAGGAAGATATGCTTCGTCTTCTACCTCCCCTACCTCTAGCCTTTAGCCGCAAACGAAGTGTTGGACCCTTAGATGGGGCCATATTAACTCTACCGTCCTATAAACCATACGATATGGAATTGGACTCTCCTAGTGATCTGGCGAACTTGAACAAATATGAAATCTCGTATGGGGAACTACTGAAGAGGAGTGTAAAAATATGGAAAGAGGTGCAGACTGATCAAGAGGCTACTGGAAGAGTGGATGATAAGAAAATGACTACTTTGAAATTATTTTTATGAGTTTATATTGTATGAATCAGGTAGCCCCCAAATCATGGAAAATAAGCTATGGTACGCCATCCCTCAAGGTGATTGCAATGTTTAAAATGTAGCTGTAGTTATATATCTGAACGCCTCTCTGATCCAAACACCTCTCCAAGCTACCCGTTATACACAGCGGGGTTTAATCTTGACGAAAAACTTACCAATAAGGGATTTTGTGTCTGCTAACACCTCAACATGTTATCCAAATGATTGAACCTCCTTTGAAGCTATTACCGATATTAATTTGATCATTTTTTCTTGAAACCTTGAAATGTGAACGTGCAAAAGCCGCTCCGAACACTTGGCCGATACCAATGGAGTTCAGAATAGACAGTTTTGCTGTATTACATTTTGACAACAAATGATTGCTAGAGATAATGTCCGCTGTCTTAAATCATGGCCATAATTTATTTCCATCTAAGGCTTACTCAAGAACTCAGAAAAATAAAGCTCCGGAACCCAAAAAGGATAAAATGAAATCTGGACACAACATTATAGTATTATATGAACCATATTTTGGGGCAAATGATAATATTAAAGCAAAATATGATCAAACAACTGACAGAAAAACGTGATGAAATTCATGAGATATATTTCATACGATTAAGTTACGTGACAAATTGCCTCGTTCTAGTACATTGCATAAAACAATCAATGGTTGCATTTCTTGTATTTTGTTCATTTTTAATAAAATGTTTATAACTGTGATCAATGTTATTGATTTTAAAAACTAACTTACTGCACTTTATATATTTATTTTATATTTTATTAAAAACAGGGTTTGATATTTTAAAATTATTTGGTTCCTTATCAATTTGGAGATGTGTACAGGTGTACAGACCAAGATACTATTCAAGAATCTTCCTAATACACTTTATCTTCTTATTCACTGTCATTTATCTTATATTGAACGATTAATAAATTCTATAAAAGGAACTAAATAACATGGAAATCAAACCCTGTTTAGTTCTACCACCATTGATATGAACAAAATGGACAAAAATAATAAAGTAAAACCTGTTTATCCAAAGTCTAATCTGAGCACTTCTCAACATGGACACTTATTTCTGTCCCAATATCTAAATCTGCCATAAGGCCTACATGTTAAAAACTTTCAAAATATTAACATCTTATCAATCCAAACACTTTTGGCAGGTCTCAGTGCCTTTTGGATTTGACAGGTTTTACTGTAACCCAATATTTTTGGAACATGACTTAATGCCAACTTCCTGGCCTTCATTGGAGCGTACGGATTAAACCCAGTCTTGCATGTGTTCATTACAATATAAATTTCCATTTTTAACACTGTAAAAACATCATCCTGATTATGGAATGGGATGACAATTATTGCCATGTCTGAACTCCAAAAGTTAGACTTTTAACTTCCTTCATACGTTATGAAATTCAAGATCAGTCAAAAACTATGGCAAGTCATGGGCTTTCAACTAATTGAAAGACCATGGGCAAGTCAATGCTATATCCTACTGTAACTGCTATATCGTTTCCTTAAAACCTATTAACATTATGTGACTTAAAAATTATATATACTTATGAAGTGTGATCTATATGTAAAATGGTTAAATGCAATATAAAGTGAACATTTTGAAGCAATACTTGGGAAATAAATACTTCTACATAGTTCAATGCTGCCATCTATTGGCATTCATCCACTCGATTTCGAGTCATTGAATGCAGTGACATCTTTCAGTGCATATCTATACAATTCAGGTATAAACTGAAGTTTTCCAACTGTTTTCTTTTTGTACATTGATGTATCAGTTCCCACGGAATGTAACTGGGTCCACAGCCTCTTTGCATAATAATTATGATACAAAATGTATCCTGAAATTCACTTGTGAGCAGAGATTGAACAGTACTTCCCTCATTTGAATTTCTAAAAAATCTGAGAGAAATTGTGTTCTGCCAACTGTGTCATCTTGCTAATCAGTTACTGGAAAGGGAATATTTGCAGAAAATGATTACCCACAAAATGGGAACTGATACAACAATTTTACACGATGAAGAATAAATAATTGGCTCAAAAGCGTAAGCACAATATAAATATCATGAACTATGAGTTCTCTTCACTCTGGCTCCGGGGGCAACTGTAACCCAGGATATGCCTCACTCTGAGTTGGTGGTGGGGGAACCACATTGACAGGATCCACTGGGATAGGTGCAGGTAGAGGGGGAGCTGCTGCGGCACCAGCATGGACCACCTGAATCTGGTTTATATTGTCTATATCCTGTAGGGGCACTGGCGCCAGAGGGTCAACATTGGCAGCTTCTACCAGGTTGGTGAAAGATTTACTGGGCACACACTGGAAGTCTACATGTCTACTTCTATTCTCTTCTTTCTCCCAGGACATGTGTAGGAAGGGTCTTTGTACATAGTTGTAGATCACTGAAAAGTGAAAATGAGAATTGCCTTTACAAATCAAAATATTCCACCAGAATGTGTCACCAGCATCTGAGCACACTGCATAATAATTTCAGTTAAAAGTTTGAAATTAATTTAATTATGAAGACTCATCACTAAATGCTGTCTCACTTCATCTTATTTATTTACACTCTGCAAATTTTTATTTTTTCCATTTCTGATATGACAACCCATTAAATATTTCCATTATAACATCAACAATGAGGGGACATAAAATACCAATTGCTTAACAACTAGTATAATGAGCTTCATAGAATTGGTTAAGACATGCCCTCTGTCTGGGTTAGGCTTTTATACCTTCTGCTCTGCCATCTGGTCTTATCTTGATCTTCTCTTTGGATGTGGGGTAGCCCTCTATTCCTAGACGGATCTTCTTTAACCCCATCTCTTTGAGCACTTGCTTAGCTACATCTCTGTTCTCTATGTACTTGAAAAACCGGAACATCTGGTTGCTGTGTATCACTAAAAGTAAAGAAAACACTGGTTGTCATGGATCTCTCCAAGTAAAAACATTATACAAATATTTTGTTCTATCATTGAGGAGAAGACCTTTGTATCTTTCACAGGAATTGGGGAATATTGTATTTGAAACTGACACAGGTATTCACTCGAAATAGAGCAAAATATTTGTCTAATCATTAAGTGTTACTTTTTCTCCTTCTGTAGCATACTGGCACAAAGCATTAACATGCAAATTGCAAAATGTCACTACCTGCCATTTCTTACAGGCCCTCACCATTGTAGGTTGGAGACTATAACAATACAACATAATAATAAAAATAAGTAAAGGAATTATTCGCTAATCAAAAAGAGGCTCAATTATGTCCAATAACAGAAAGCAAAACAGGAAAATATTACAGGATTAATACGTCATGTGATGCGTGTTTATACACCCACAGAATGAAAAATGTGACAGTGATTCTTATTGAAACAACGGGCATTGGTTCCTAGGAATGACTATTATGAAAACATCAGTTGTTTTGATCAATGTGATAAAAACATATCCGTATGTATAAAAAGTGCAATTGTAATTAACACAGGGATTTAGACATTGCGATAATAATATCTCATCATGTTTATGTCAATATTATTGGAATAACATCATTTATTTTAAGCCTTTTGGTTCAATAAACTGATATTACACCACAATGTATAAAGATGTGACATTAAGTATTAGTTATGTCAGTTATGTCACTATGATGTGAAATATGCCTTCATTCTTGCCCAAATATAGAGCCTCCCAATGTCGGCCTATGCTGGGAGAACTCAGGCATATTTCACGTCATAGTGACATAACCTTTAAGTATTTTGGCACTTTCGATATTGCCTGCAATCATGCATAATCATGACTATAATATGACATCATGTTGCATTTCTATCAAATTCTACTTGCAAACAGATATGTGACATCATTGATACAAAGTAGCCATGGAAATAAGTTCATTTAGTGATTCCAAATTCAATCCTATGTGCAAAATGTTTCAATTTGGATAAATGACAAACTCAAATGGTTCAACAGATGAACACTAAATCTATTTTTCTTATTTATATACTTATTTCAATGTATGTGCCATACTGGCATGAATAGGCATGTCTTTATATATACATGTATATTGAAATGACATATACATGGTTTTTAATTTAATATTTCAAATTAAAATACTATATCTATGATACCTTGTGAGCATTCTTCTCCCTTTATTTCAATGTATGTGCCATAATGGCATTAATAGGCATGTCTTTCATACATATTGAATGACACATATATAATTCAATTCAAATACTATATCTATGATACCTTGTGAGCATTCTTCTCCCTTTATTTCAATGTATGTGCCATGATGGCATTAATAGGCATGTCTTTCATACATATTGAATGACACATATATAATTCAATTCAAATACTATATCTATGATAACTTGTGAGCATTCTTCTCCCTTTATTTCAATGTATGTGCCATAATGGCATTAATAGGCATGTCTTTCATACATATTGAATGACACATATATAATTCAATTCAAATACTATATCTATGATACCTTGTGAGCATTCTTCTCCCTCCCCCATTGCAGGAGGGAAGTTATCATCCCAGTCTATCATGTCATCCTCCATTAATATCACAATGTGGCACTCTCTGTCACCTTTCTGGAAAATACAGAACAGCCAACTAAGTATTTCATTGCCCTATCTTGCATTTATCAAGGTTTGTTAATTAGTGTAATTAGTGTAAGGCCTCATAAAAAGTTCAAGCTTTCAGTTCCATGCAACCACTATCATATATTGAATATATAATTTCCCAGGTAACCATTAAAAGAAAATCCTGATGTATAGCATTAAATCATTGAATTTAATAAATTCTTAATTTTTGGCAGAGAGTATTGACTTTTTAAACAGAATTGATTTAATTGGCTAAGTGGGACAATTTTAGGGTCCTTTACATACATTGGGATGTCATACTCGGTCAGGATATCAAACGGAATTAGCCCAAATTTCTCATTCTACATGGGCCACTTTAAGGTGCAGCATTCTTCACACCTTAAATTGCTAATGTAAATAAGAACTCAAATAGATGGCAGATTATTAGCAGGTAGGTCTTCGCTTCCTGCTTCCTATTGTATAGATGATCCCCCAATAAAAGTCAAGATACACTACATTATCCTACACTTAGTGAACTAACTGTATAATAACAAAATATCATTTTAGTCTACTCTGTGATATTGATATCTGCACTCATTCGCTTCACTCTCTCGTGATCAATATCACATCGCATATAAAAAAGATATTCCTCAAAGTCATAGGATATCTTATGAATATCAACTGTTCCAACCCAATGAACTGATGCAATCTACCGACTTAAGCTGATCTGTTTTCAATTAGTTTTTAGTAGAACTCAGTATTGTCACAGCTGTCTTACCTCAGCACATTTGACCATTGATGGTAGCAGCATCTCATCTAAGTAGTATCTAAATTGCTCCCTTGCCCCATCATTGGATAGTTCATGTAGCAACGCTCCTAGGAAATGGAAAAACAAAACATCAGGTTTAACATATGAATCAGAATAACAAGATGATATACAATAAAACAGGTATATCCAAACACCTCTCTAATCTGAACATCTCCACTCTACTATACCTAACCCCTAGAAATGCATAAGTGACTCTGTCTTATTGTATTGTTTAGCATATTTTTGAAAGTACCTTATTAACATCTAACAGTCATCCGATAAACCATTAATAAGGAACAGACAAATAAAAACAAATAACATAATCATTACTAATAAGCCAAATGGGTTGCTCATGGACACCTAAAATGCAAGGTATAGTAGAGTGATCTCTCAATGTGAATGCTTTTGTTTAGGTCCCATTTATTAATATGTCAAAGATTTCCTTGAAATGTGAACACCTGCCAATCCGAACACCATTGAAAAGTCCCAGTGGTATTTGGATTAGACAGGATTCACTGTATAGATAAATGAGCATGATTAAATCTGATTAGATCTGCCAATGTAAAAATATCAAGATGGACCAAAACTGTCCCCTCTATTAAAATGACCTAGTGCCTCTTTTATTTTCAGAATTTATTTGTATTGGAGAGTAGATGTAAAACAATGGTTATCATACCACAACTTCTGGATGGTGATTCAATCATAACAAACAAGCTTATTTAGGGTAAAAAAAACAAGCTCATTAAGGGTCAAACAAGCAAGCTCATTAAGGGTCAAACAAACAAGTTTATTATACACAGGTGACATGAAATACTTACTCAGGTTTTTGCATTTAATCGTGTGAGCATCAAAGGGAATGAGAAGATAGTCGCAGGCATCCCTTAGTTCCTGTATTGAAACACTTGGTGGGCAATGTACAACTCCAGACTTGTAGAATTCCTACAGAAAAACACAATCAACATACAGTGAAACCTGTAAAGTGGAACACCTCTGTTAGCGAAACACTTTTCAGAGTCCCAAGACCAACTGACTTAATCTTAAATGAACCTCTCTAAGTGGAACATCTCTCAACTGGAACACTTTTAGAGGTACCAAAGGTGTTCCTCTTAGACAAGTTTTTTTGTACATACAATTATCACTGATTTAGACAAAATTGTAGGGGTTTTAATCGGCAGCAGCAGCAAACCAGCATTTTCCATGGTTGTTTCAACCAAAATTTTGCAACTGTTACCATGTTAAAATTATAAGTCTGATAATTTTACTTGTTGTTTTCATGTTTTGCCTATTGTCAATAATCACAATAAAATCCAATTGTTTGTTTCTAATTTGTAACCATGATACATCAAAAACAATGGCACTTAATTATTTTTCTAATTTCAGTTTTCTTTTTTGTCAAATTGTCAAAACAACTATTCAAGTCAAAATAATATTGAATGAAAACAATCTGAAGAAGAACTAAATTGAACAAGGCATTAACATGCAAAAAGTCACCACCTGCCATTTGCTACAGTTGCCGAATGCCAGATGCTGACCTTCACTCACAGAATGCCAAACATTTTCCATTTCACTTGTGGTGGTGACATAAAAAGCTACATTAAGAAGTTGGTGTGTTACAAAGAGATGCTGCCTTACCAAAATTGCTCTGAAGACAGTAGCTGAGATTCCATCTGCAACCTCGTACTCTCCACGCTCGTTGGGTCGTGTGAAGTTATTCTCCAGGGAAGATGTGAACATTCTACAACAAAACATATCACAATATTCAAAATCTAAAATTAATATAAGGATAAAGAAGTGTTATTTGTGGTAAAAAAACAGATGCACTCACATAAGTAATCGTTATCCTTACGTAATATATTCAATGGAGAATTCTAGAAATACTTCTAATGTATTTCAGTCTACCTTTGAGATGTTAATATAAAAATACCAATGTTTTAGGGTTAAACTTGCTTTAAAGTGATATATTGATTTAGAATACTTTACCTTCCAAGCATTGTATTAGAATGACGTTTGAAAATATTGGAATCCACGACAAAACGTGTCTCATCTACCAATAGGGTGATGCGGTCAATGGTACGACTGGAGTGGGAGTTTGCTGCATGGCATGATGGACTTGAGACACCAACTCCACCTACTGCACCCTCCTGGTTGGCTGCACCACCTAAAGATTATTTTCAAAACCATTGAAACCATTGTTTGGACTGATTAGGCCATAAGAAGTAGACTCTTTGTTTTGCATCCCATTGTTTGCAGGATTTTGAGTAAATCAAAAAATCAATCACATCCAAATAGCAATCACAAGGGTCTGAACGTACCATCGCATTTCGTTCAATCAGAATCAGACGAAATGTCTGTATTGTGTAAAATGTATAGATATGTGTTTGTAATCACTTCAAATTGCTATGTCATCCCTTTTTATGTCCATAAAATGTATACATTTCTCAGCAAACAAGTTTTTCTTGAGTTTGTGTTTGTTTTCCTTGATTGATTTGGATTTGCCAGGACGCAAAACAAAGAATCTACTTCTTATGGCCTTAAGTAAATATTTCACTGTAAAACATGTCAAATCTGTATGAACCTAATCTTAATGACTTCCAATTTACGTATGAAGTTTTTGAGACTTAATATCAATAAATTGAAAAATAGGCTAGAATTGGCCACAACTCATTAATAAATATCATAAGTGTCAAAAAAATATTAAGAGTGACTGCCATTGATGGAAATACTATACAAATATTTCATACTATTGAGGTGAATTCGCATTCCATCATGACCATCAATAACCTATTTATTCCATGATATTTTTCTGAAACTTGTTATAGGTATAGTCCAGTAGGAGTGTGGGGAAAATGAAAGCAATATAATAGTAGAACATATTTTGAACTTGATATTTTGTACTATAGTACAATGGAATCTGTGAAAGTGGCACACTTTTGGGTCTTAAATCTTGAACTACCATTAAACATCACTTCTTAAATAACACCAGCATAAAATAGGGTATCTTTTTTATTATCAGCATAAATTGGGACATCACTTTTTATGCAAGCATAAAATGGGATATCACTTTTTATGCCAGCATAAATTGGGACATCACTTTTTATGCTCAACATGAAATGGGGCATCATTTTTTATGCTGGGCATAAAAAGTGATATGAATAAAATGTTTTTTTTAAAAACTAACAAATCCGGGTATATGTTACAGTCCATTTTTATATAATCCACTGTTAGGTTTACTGGACTTATTCATGCAATATGAAATCCAATCATTGATCATTCTAGAATGAACTCCAAACGACAAAATAAGCGGATATTACTTCAAAATCTTATTTTCAAGCTGAACAGTAGAAGTCACAAATACCTTGATTTTTTGCAGGTCCACATGTTATGTAGCTCGCTTGACTATTCCTGGCTTTTCCTTTCACTCCTTCATCTTTAGAGCTCTTCAATGCTGGAGGTGGTAATTCATCCCGTTCCATTTCACTTGAAGATTTCCGCACTAAACATGGTTTCTGCTTTGTGGTTCTAAAACTCCTGTAATTATTTGCAGAATTCAGTGAATCTTGCCTAATCTTGAGTTTTGGTTTTGAATTTGTTGGCATTTTCCTATATGTACTACATGTGAATCTTTTACTTGTAACAAATAACTGACTAGAAGTTAATTAAAGGTAAACTTGTTTACTAGTTGATAGAGTCACAATGTCCTGCTTTAGATAATCCATGTACACAGGCATGTATTATACTTGTTTATCTAATCATGAATCCACAAATCACTTCTTGCTAACTCAATTCTTAAAACAAACACTTATAAAACATTGGCTTCAGTAAAACAATCTACATGTGTGTTTGGATTGTCACATTAAAGGGCTAAATCATTATTGATAAACCTGTCAGCAGTTCCTGTAAAAAAGGTGAACAGTCAAAATGTGTTTACTTAATAGCTCTCTTGTTTGAATAATCAATTTGTTCATGTTTCATTTTTAGAAAATTCCATGGGTATATATAGATCACAAGTGTTCAGAGCACTCCTAGTAATTCCTATCTTGTGAAAATCACAAACTTTGTAACATTTTATGAGGACAGGGGAGTGGATCCGTGGCATTTTCTACCATAAATCAACATTAACAAGAGGACCTTACATTTAAATGGATCAAATATGTATAGTGTTTTTAAATAACCTTAACAACCCTATATGTTTGTTTACAAAAATGTTCAGATTTTATCATGATGACCGGAAACATTGTATGCTCATAAATAACTCTAGTGCTAAGGTATGTTCATCTGATTCTACCACTGAAATAAATGATATATGCTCATTTTAATTATCTAAATCTAATCTATAAAGGGAGGGCTTTCGAAACTTATTTTCAAATCCACATGACAATATGGAACATTTTACGAGGGGTCGTGAACTCAAGTCCAGGATACTATATCAATCAATAACCAAACACTTGTGAAGCATGACATCAGGATTTGAAAAATTAGGTCTTATCTAGAGAGCACATGCTGAATAATCAAGCAGGATTGAACAGTCCAGGTCTCATTTATTGTGCATACGTTTAACAATCAAGCCGGTCTGATTCATAGTACATAGGTTTAATAATCAAGCAGAATTGAACAATTTAGGTCTTATTAATAGTGCATAATTAAAGTTTAACAATCAAGCAGGATTTAACAATTAAGGTCTGATTCATAGTGCATAAATTTAACAATCGAAGCAGGATTTAACAGTTTAGGTCTGATTCATAGTGCATAAGTTTAACTATCAAGCAGGATTTAATAATTTAGGTCTGATTCATAATGCAAAAGTTTAACAATCAAGCAGTATTTAACAGTTTAGGTCTGATTCATAGTGCTTAAGTTTAACAATCAAGCGTGATTGAACCGTTCCTGTCTAACTTGTAATGCATAGGTTAAATCATCAAGCAGGATTGAACAATTTAGGCCTTATTGATAGTGCATAGGTTTAACAATCAAGCAGGATTGAACCATTCCTGTCGAACTTCAGGGCTCTCACCAGGAAATATTTAGGGTGTGATGCTAACATCTTCAGATAAATCATATTTATTTTATGTTTAATCCTTTTTACATGCTATTATTGTATATGCAGTCAAGTTTAGACTGTGAAAACAGTCATGATTTGCCAATAGGGTGTGGAGGGAGCTAAATAGAGTGTGGTGCTGCGCCACAGTCTAAAAGCCTGGCGAGAGCCCTGAACTTGTAGTGCATAGGTTAAATCATCAAGCAGGATTGATCAATTTAGGTCTTATTTATAGTGCATATATGTTTGATAACCAGAACAACGGCAACGCCAAAGCGTAGCGAATCCCATCGAACAGCCATGGATGGCATTTTTACTAACAAAGTATATAGCAAAAATGGCAGGCATTTTTCAAAATGGCCGCCTTCTACCAAAAGTGTCATTAGACCATTTGCCATACTTATAGTTTTCACATACCAAATATGAACAAAATCGCTCCACTACTTTTCAAGTTATAGTTAAAATGGCAGCCATTTTGAAAAATGGCCACCTTCTACCAAAAGTGCCATTAGACAGTGTGCCGTGCTTATAGTATTCACATACCAAATATAAACAAAATCGCTCCACTACTTTTCGAGTTATAGTGAAATACGTTAAAATGGCGGCCATTTTTCAAAAATTTTTTCAAAATGGCCACCTTCTACTAAAAGTGTCATAGGACAGTGTGTCATGCTTTCAGTATTCACATGCCAAATATGAACAAAATCGCTCCACTACTTTTTGAGTTATAGTAGAATAGTTTAAAATGGCGGCCATTTTGAAAAATGGCTGCCTTCAACCAAAAGTGTCATTAGACAGTGTGCCATGCTTATAGTATTCACATACCAAATATGAACAAAATCTCTTCACTACTTTTCAAGTTATAGTAAAATAGGTTAAAATGGCGGCCATTTTTTAAAATGGCCACCTTCTACCAAAAGTGTCTTTAGACAGTGTGCAATGTTTATAGTATTCACATACCAAATATGAACAAAATCGCTCCACTACTTTTCGAGTTACAGCAAAAATCGTAAAATAACGAGTAAAGGCCGCCATTTTTCAAGATGGCTGCCATGTGCTTCTCTAATATCTACATTTCTAGCTTTATTTATGTTCTATATAATTTTTTTACATCTAAAACATATTGCTATTACAGTTTTACATATTGCACCTAAATTACTGTAAATTCAGCACTAAAATGGCCGCCATTTTGAAATGAGCCGCCATTTTGAAAATCGGCTTTCAAGCAGAACTTCTACGCCCATAGGGTATATGTGTACAAAATATGAACAAAATCGGGCCAACGGTGTTTGAGTTATTGCCCGGACGGACGGACGTACGTACGGACGGATGGACGGAGGCGTTCCCTATATCCCTCCAACTTCGTTCGATGGGATAATCAAGCAGGATTGAAGTTTTTCTCAACATGTTAATGTAGGTTGAAAGAATATCTCTCAAGGTTTATAACTTATTTTTAGAGTTTCTCAAGTTTTAGGCTGGGTCAATATGTAATAAATAATACCATTATGTCTACATTAAATGTGCCAAAGAACAAGTCTATAATAATGTTAATAGACAAACAAGTTATGCAATGTAAGGTGGGTGTCATTTTTTGAGTCACCCTGTATTTTATAAAAAAAAGAGATCAACACTTTTTCTTCAGAGTGCACCTACCCCGAGCGCTTGATACATGCTTTCCTTCTCTCCTCAGGCTCTGAATATTCTGTATCGCTGCTGTTGCTATCATAGTGACGGCTATATGAGTTGGAATTCTTGTCTGTCTGCCTGCGAGACATGGCAATGCTCTGATCGTGTTCTTAGAGGTTGGAATCTTGGGGTTCAGACCATTTGGTTAAAATCCTGCAATTAGGCAAGGTAAAGGAACAATGAACAAGAAAAATGGTAACTTATTATTATCTTACCAGTCTACAAAAAACAATGGAATTGAAATCACATTAAAAAATAAAACATACAGGTAAAATTGAGGCTGATTTATACGAGCACTCTACTGAATACAGCTGTGCAAGTTACACACTACCAAAAGTCAATGGTAAATTTCATATGCGCCATTTTATTGAATCCTTTGATTTGATTGGTTACCTTAAAAAACAATATGGCCGACAAGGAAGTAAAAAATAATATGAAATTGATTAATCTTAAAAATGTGATTTATCTGCACAGCTCCTTTAATTTAAATAATTTAAATCACCAATATATCAGGCAAAAGTGTAACTGCACACAATGCTTACATATTTTGCAATGTAACTATTGCGTATGTTGTCTAAAACGTATTAAATTGACGTCACTACTGGTAAAGAGGGGAGATGTCAATGCGGTAGCCTGACAGTCTCCCCAGGGTATTTCAACATAAAGGGACCTCCTAGGGGGGTACATGGGCCAACCAGGGAAGTTCCTTTCAATTTTGAAATGAGTTGTAAACCATCGATCTATTTTTAAATGTTAATGTTTTAAATTATATTCTACTCAAATTCTATCACTGTTAAATTATATATCTGCTTCATATGGGCTTATTAGCCTTTTGCAGATTATTGACACAGATATATTCATTAAAACAGAAATTTACTCCAATTTGAGTGGCAATTTTCTCAAAAACCGGAGAAAGCCGGAGCTTAATATCTTACAAAACCACATTTTTAGAGCCTCAAAAGCAAGAAATTTAGACACGATTACGATAAATAACCCCTCCAAGTTCCATGTTAAAATTATGGGGTGACACCGTAATTGAAACAAAAGTCGTTTCTTTCGGTGCACAAGCATTGACCAATCAATGGATCTGAATCAATCAATGGATCTGAATCAATCGATCAGAGTGTAATCTGGCAGAGAATCGTCGATTGAAATTTTCCACGCCAATTCTAGCTGAAATTCATTCTATTCTACGATAAATACTGCATATGTTTGATAAACGATATTATCAGATGTAAGTATAACGTGTATTTGAAATATAAGACCGACATTTATGCTTTGAATTATGACATTTGAGATATAAAAATGCAAATTAGTTTGAGGATAATTTTCCATTGACTTTTGGTAGTGTTACAGTCACCAAGATGAGCTAATTTCGGAGAGATTCCGAAAATAAAAAAGGTAGATGTAACTTCAATATTTTCATTCGTGCAGCATCTTGGGTCATCCCATCTTCCCAAATATTTTCATTTTGGAAATGGAATGATTCTCCAAAAATATTCAAATAAGTGGAATAACATAAGGGCTTTTTTACACAGACGAGGACATTGAAAGTACGTTATTTTGACGTGAAACAGTTCTGTCTATCATCTGAACTAGAAATGAATTCTAAAATATAACAATTCGTACCTTTTTCATCCAATTAAACGAAATATTGCGACTCCACTTTCAATATTATTCCACCATTTTGTTTTCTATGACAGCTGTGAGACATTATTATTAATTGTATTTAAAATGTTTATCGAAGCCTTCTTTAAGTTCAACTTTTGTGACAAAAATAAAAATATAATCAGTTTCTATTATGATAACAATAAAAAATAGTTTTATTACAATAACAACCACGAGTCTTTTCTTAGATTTGTTGATACTTTTCTTGTTATTCTGTGCAATGCCATCTAGGTGTCACTACGGTAATTCATTGAGGTGTCACTACAGTAAATCATTGAAAAATATTGAAATAATCACAAAATTCAAGTCCTCGGTACATATCGCCATTTTCGAACGAATTAGCCCATACAATGACAATATTTCTGCGTTCCCCTATACATAACCTTCATCTTGACACTATTTAACATAGGGTTTGCGTCTCGATTTCTAAATATCACTGCACTACGCCGACATAGGGACTCATTTTTAGGTAAAATCCTTGCTTCACCGATGGAAATTAACGAATAAAGTAGTTCCAGTTTACGGGACTATGTTCTTGCGATTTTTTCTAAAAATGGCACATTGAGAAAGTACTTAGCCTCAGCCATAGATCCCGGCCAGATTCTTTTGTAGTAGTGATCAGTAGCTCAATAAATATTCCTCAAGATGAGACACCTCAGAAAATTTCAAATTTTAAAATGACGATTATGAAGCCATTTCTGAAAAATATGAGACAAATCATACCTCATTCGAAGCATCTTGTTATTCTTTAACTTTTTTATCATCAATGACCGTTATTCAAGCAATGCTGCGTTGATAAGAGGCCAAAACAGTGATAATTTATCGCCGGACTCTTGTCTGTCCAAATCTGAATGGTGCTCCCTTGGTTCCAGAAATGTGACGTCATCATTACAATGATATTTGGACACACAAGAGTCCAAATATCTGTGGCCTCAGCTTTACATACATACCTCAAATGGCCAAAAAGCATACACTTACACCAGGCTACTATAAACATCATTGAAGTTGGGGTATGAGGTTCCATATCCATCCGCCAAAAGGTATGACCCCTATATAGTCCATTTAAAAACTTGTGGTTTTGTTCTAAATAACGCCATAGTTGGCTTCTAGGGTACCTAGTATGCCACTATTTGGTATCAAAATAAAGAGGAGGAGTTCAACTTTCATTTGAATTACGAAAATAGCGATGTAGGTCAAAAATAGTTCCGACGTGAGCATGTTTATTACGCGTTTGCCCATCATATCAGAATTGAGGAAGTGGTAGCAAACGCGAGTCACAATAAATGGACGCTGATATCTCAAAAAGTAACCTGACTCCCTATAATTTGATGTAGATCAATCGAACCCCTATATGAACAGGTACATTTTGATATATAACACTATGGGGGGTAAGCGTTTTATAGTTGGTCACGAACGCCATATGTGCAAAGTATTGTTATGAATTTTCGAATTTGGTGTTGGATTACGGTACTCATACCTTAATATGAGGCCTAAAATTGTCTGCTAGTTGGCCAGAGACCAATATTCTAGCAGATTTTGAGAACAGAATCGATTTTTTCGTTCTGTCTGCGTAGGGCAAACAATGATTTGAAATCACTTTCAACCATTCTGTGAGTATAAGAATGGTCATAAGAGGCCCGTGGAGGGTCTGGAATGAAAGAAAGCCCTCTGAAATTCCGTCAAAATTGCAGGTTATTTCTTCATTTTTTGCTAAAATTACATGATTTTCAGGGCCCATATCTCAGTGAAATTGCTACAATGTAGCGATTTTTCATTTTTACAGGCTAGATACACGTGTCAGGTCGACAGAAACAGTAAGCATGTGTGATTTTCAAATTGCTACATTGTAGCAATATTTATTTCAAAATACAGGTGTGAGGGAAACTGCAATTTAGTTAGATTTGGGCGAAAATGGCCAAATTTCAGTCAAAATCCTCGGGACACAGGCCCTTTGTCTTAGATTTAGTCAATGATGCAACTCTTAGTAGAAGGTGTGCCATATAGGGAATGAAAGCTGTTTGTCAGACGTATCATTTTCTTCAATAAACTCAGAGATAGTCAGGTTAGATTTGTGACGTCACAGTGGCAAAGTTAGACCAGCATATTTAGACGTATTTGGGGTAGGGCAAATTAACCCTTTCTAGCCTAAATGGATACATTTTCACATATTCAGCCAGTTCCGACGTTTTTATGCCTTTTTGAACTAGAAATGATATTTTCTGCCAAAAAAAGTTGCAGAGACAAAAATCAGTGTGATGTCATAACACATTAATATGAGGCCTAAAATTGTCTGCTAGTTGGCCAGAGACCAATATTCTAGCAGATTTTGAGAACAGAATCGATTTTTTCGTTCTGTCTGCGTAGGGCAAACAATGATTTGAAATCACTTTCAACCATTCTGTGAGTATAAGAATGGTCATAAGAGGCCCGTGGAGGGTCTGGAATGAAAGAAAGCCCTCTGAAATTCCGTCAAAATTGCAGGTTATTTCTTCATTTTTTGCTAAAATTACATGATTTTCAGGGCCCATATCTCAGTGAAATTGCTACAATGTAGCGATTTTTCATTTTTACAGGCTAGATACACGTGTCAGGTCGACAGAAACAGTAAGCATGTGTGATTTTCAAATTGCTACATTGTAGCAATATTTATTTCAAAATACAGGTGTGAGGGAAACTGCAATTTAGTTAGATTTGGGCGAAAATGGCCAAATTTCAGTCAAAATCCTCGGGACACAGGCCCTTTGTCTTAGATTTAGTCAATGATGCAACTCTTAGTAGAAGGTGTGCCATATAGGGAATGAAAGCTGTTTGTCAGACGTATCATTTTCTTCAATAAACTCAGAGATAGTCAGGTTAGATTTGTGACGTCACAGTGGCAAAGTTAGACCAGCATATTTAGACGTATTTGGGGTAGGGCAAATTAACCCTTTCTAGCCTAAATGGATACATTTTTCACATATTCAGCCAGTTCCGACGTTTTTATGCATTTTTGAACTAGAAATGATATTTTCTGCCAAAAAAAGTTGCAGAGACAAAAATCAGTGTGATGTCATAACACATTAAGGTATGAGGTTCCATATCCATCCGCCAAAAGGTATGACCCCTATATAGTCCATTTAAAAACTTGTGGTTTTGTTCTAAATAACGCCATAGTTGGCTTCTAGGGTACCTAGTATGCCACTATTTGGTATCAAAATAAAGAGGAGGAGTTCAACTTTCATTTGAATTACGAAAATAGCGATGTAGGTCAAAAATAGTTCCGACGTGAGCATGTTTATTACGCGTTTGCCCATCATATCAGAATTGAGGAAGTGGTAGCAAACGCGAGTCACAATAAATGGACGCTGATATCTCAAAAAGTAACCTGACTCCCTATAATTTGATGTAGATCAATCGAACCCCTATATGAACAGGTACATTTTGATATATAACACTATGGGGGGTAAGCGTTTTATAGTTGGTCACGAACGCCATATGTGCAAAGTATTGTTATGAATTTTCGAATTTGGTGTTGGATTACGGTACTCATACCTTGGCATGGCTTCCTTTTAAAGTATTATAAACACTGTCCTACCCAGAAGTGGTATTTACCGTAGGGACCCGGAAGTGGTATTTACCGTAGTGACACCTTAATATCCAAAACGGGAAAATTTGACTATGATAATTTTTGCTCATTTAGCATTTTTTCAAACAATTGAGTTATTTCATGCTCAAAACAGCTGCATTTTCAAACTTTTAATACATGTTGTTAAATCATTTGATTTGATTGGTAACCTTGAAACCAATATGGCCGACAAGGAAGTATAAAAATAATATAAAATTGATTAATCTTGAAAACGTGATTCATCGCATATATTGTCTAAAATATTTTTCAGATCCCGTCCTATGGTCGAAAAATCCATTTATTTTCCCATTTCACCCATTTATAATAAAGACCGATGGCTTATCTACACCTCCTTCCTCTCGTCAGAGAGCTGAGTAGAATCATGTCCAATTACATTTTCTTTTGATTAATCCTCTAAATTTCAAAATGGTGGATGATTCTAAAAAATCTCATGACATGACAAGACATATTTATTAAACTGTGCGAAATTACAATTGTTATAGAAGTAAACTTGATTATCACATTTGAATCTCTTTATTTATATTTTTGGATATTTATCACCTCTTCAAAAATTTAACTAAAATTCATTCATGGAACTCATGGAATTCTGGCAAATTCTTGGAACTCTGACGTCCGAACTTACACGGGTGGGTGAGGAGAAACTTTTCTGAAGAAAATGACTGAAAATATAGTCCTGCGTAAGGATACTAGCGGTAAGTGATTTGGTTTTCTGTATAAAAAGTCATTTTTCTCCTTCCCTATACCATTGGAGCGCCATCAGGCGTTTGGGAAGTGAATCGGGACTCGATATTTATAAGGTAGGTCCTAATTTATCTGAAAACATGTCAAAGTTTAGTGGGACATCTCATTTTAAGCTGGCGGCGGGGTGATTTTGACCTTGGTGATTCTACCAGAATTTTCTGAGAAATCTGACGATAGAGGGGTCAAGTGTCGTTGTAGGCAAAAAAACTTCGAAACAAAGCGTTTTTGCGAAAAAGCCTCGAAATAAACCGTTTTTAAAGCAAAAAGCCTCGAAACAAAACGTTTAAATGCAAGAAAGCCTCGAAACAAAGCGTTTTATAACGAAAAGGCCTTAAAATAAAACGTTTTCAAAGCAAAAACCTCGAAACGAAGAGTTTTTTTGCGAAAAGGCCTTGAAATAAAACGTTGATGTCTCTTTGCCAAAAAGCCTCGAAATAAAACGTTTTTACGCAAAAAAGCCTCGAAACAAAGCGTTTTTTGCGAAAAAGCCTTGAAATAAAACGTTGATGTCTCTTTGCTCTCATCAAATCTCTTCTTTGGGTATTGTTTTTCATCATTGACCTGTGTCATAGACTTTCTATGATCACATCAGTTTTCATTATTTATTTATCTTTTCCGTGACATCAAAGATCAATTTGCAAGAAAATATGTAACAATGGAAATAAAGTATTAAAACAATAAATGCTGGCACCCACGTTTATTTCAGTCTTCTTAGTTTGAAAAAGAT